AACTTACTCAAAGAGCTTCCATTTTTGTTGACTTGTTACTATCTAAGTGGATAATTACTATCCAAATTAGCTCAATCTAGTAATCTTGACCATAAAATTGATCATGGATCGCCCAGATATTATCTTAACATCTCATTTTTCTTCTACTTTCATACTTTCTCCTTTCTATTTTCTTCTTTGATCGAACTCTGATTTGAATATCAAAATACAAAAATTGAAAAAACTCTCAACCTTTGCTTTTAATCACTCTCTTGCGGTTTAGGGTTCTACCCCTCAGTTTGAACTTTGGCTACAAACAATAAGTAAATAAATGAATCTCAATCCTATTATATAATCATTTTTAAAGGTAATAACCAATAGTTATGAGATTTAAATCTCAATATACATAATTTGTTTTCTTTTTTCATAGATTTCAGACCTATTAATTTGTAAAAAAGAATGATACACCGAAGAAAATATTTTTAAAAATGATGGAACAATAACGGTTTTTTGGTTCAGCCAACAAATTCACTGAGAATCCTATTTGGGTATGATCTAACATTCTTATCCACTGAAGAAATCGTGGGAAATGCCAAATCACCATTGATAATTAATATTAAAATCAGAAGCTGTGATTTTTTTGTATAAAAAAATTTCAACTTAAACTTTAATATTCCAACTTAATTCAAAGTCATTACCATGATTATAAATTTTTTTTTCCATTATAGTACTTCCAAGCAGTGCGAACCAGCCAAAAAATTTTAATAATTGCAATTTTCCATATTTTGGTACATGAATTTCAACTGCTAATACTTTTCGTATGCTAGTTTCCTACTATCATTATAAAAAAGGAGACTAATGTCCCATTTTATATTGGGATTGAAGTTGAGTTTGATAGTAAACGTTGAATTTGATCATAAATATAATATCGAAAAGCTCAGATAATTTATATAAGCACTCGTAAAAAATTTTATCTAATGGATCTGAAATTTAAATCTTAATATTTATAATTTTTGTTTTTATTTTCAAATTATGATTTTTTAATTTATATAAAAAATAAAATTTGCAATTTAGATCTTGATTTTGATTATGATGAATTTTTATCAATCCTAAGTTCTTATCTAAATTTGTAATTACAAGGAGTTTACTTTCAATTACAACTTTAAATCATAATCACCAATAACTGCAATCATTAACACCAAATTAGGTCTAAATTAACAAACTTGCAAGTGTGAAAGTTATAATCTTAGTACTGCATATAATTTTTGACCCTAAATCTATTTTCATTAATCAATCATCACTCAAAGTCGAGATAAAAAAATTTGAATGCCTATTTAAAGTCCAAAGTACCAAAGTGGAAATTTTAGACCAATGTCTTACTCCATATTTTTATATTAAATTAAAAATTATGGTTTTAACATTATCTGATATATATATATATATATTGTTCATATAAAAAAAGCAAATTTTTTTTTTCATTTTTATACTTTTTTATATTATTTTTATATTATTTTATTATATCATATTTAAAATTATCGTATTTTCACCAAAATGAAATGGGAAGGGTGAACCCAAAAAGCAATTTAAGGTGCCCTTTGGGAGTTTGGAGCTTTCCCTTATATTTTCCCACTTAGCGTCTTCCACCGGCGGGATAAGAACACTTTTGGGCTCGTCTTACGTAGACCTTGTGTGGGTTTTTACATTTATCACATTTATTTTTATAAGAATGAAACAACTGAGTTATCCAAAATCTTAAATAACTTTCGTTTTTTATTTATTTAGTACCGTTTTCACTCGAAATAAAGATTATTTCTTTTGTTTTGGTATATATGGCTATTTGTATATTTATATCGTATAAAATATTAATAATTTGTATATTCATAATTGTTTTACATAAAAATTATATATCATAATTCATATTAATATAAAAATATAAAATTTTTATTTTTATTTTTATGAAACTCATATATAATTTTTGTTAAAATTTTAAATTATATTAATTTTATATTTTTTGTATTATTTTTATATCATATTATCATATTGTATTTGATATTATCGAATATAATTTTGGGTGAGATACATCTTTGTTTTGTGCACTGAAAAAGTTGTAAAGAAAACGATTTTCATGGAACTGCACTTCCATTTCTTATTAATTACAATGGCAACCTTATGAAAAATGAAAACTCATGTCATTTGTTTTTATTTAAAAAGAGATGCTAAAATATTCATCAACATCATTATTTTATAAAAAAAATAAATATTTAAAAACTCATTATTTATTATATTAATTTTTCATTTAAAAAATTAGATATTTGTTGTATAAACATTTTACACTAATTAATTAAGTCAAATGTACAAATATATTCACTATCTTAATATTATTTGTTAATAATCCAACAATTTGGAACCAAATGAGGTTACTCTAAAAAAGACACATTAGAAAGTGTTTGGCATAAGGTGGGTTGTTTAATTTAGTGTTTTGGACTCAAAAATCACATAACCTTATGTGGTAATAATTTAAAAATCTTACGTAACAGTGATTTTAAATCATTGAGATAATAAGATTACTATTTTAGAGAATGATATGATTCTCAATCTAAAGAATGAAAAAGTTTTATCATCATTAAAAAATAATTTTCAATATTATTTTCTGACTAATTTACTCTCACAAAATATATAATTAGCATTACCTCAAAAAAATGATTTTTAATCACTTATTCTAAAAAAGTTTTATATTATAAATTTATATTGATTAGAAAAAATATAATGAATTTATTTAATAATTTTTTAGAAATTATTTTTATTAAAATTGATTTATACTTATAGTTTTCTATAAAATAAAGTTTAATTATTTTATAAACTATTAATTCAATATTAAATATTTTACTTTTTTGTAAAATTATTTTGGATATTTTATATTATATAATTTATTTTTTATATAATACCAAATATAGTGATTTAAAAATACTAATGATTTATAATATTATATCAAATATAGCAATTTAAGATCATTGATGATTAAATCCTCTTGGTGATCTTATCATCATGATAATTAGATTACCACGATGATTTTAAAAATTATTAAGTTGTTGTCAATTTCAAGCTAACACTCTTACTCAAATCAAATTCCAAGTAATTAATTTACAAAAATTATTACATTAAATCTATATCATAATTCATGAAGAAAAAATAATTGAATAAGATTTTAACTCAATTAGTTCAGATAATTTTTTTTTTTAAGATATGATGTTTTACAAGTTTGAAATTCAAATTTCAACTATGGCAACACTCTTCCTTTTTCTAATAAGTTACGATCTTGTTATATTAAATAAAAAAATTAAAAATAAATTCAGGGTTTCCAAAATCACACTCCCTTGGTTAATAGGGACATAAATTTGTTTCTCCTAAAATCATTTTCATAATTAAATTCAATTTACTATTACCTGAGTTTTCAAGTCATTTTGAGTGATAAATGGAATTAATTATGGGGCCAGAAATTTGTTTTCAAACAAAATGGAAAATTAACTCCCAAAAAAAAAATCTGCATTAAAAAATTGACCCTACCAAACACGTTTTAGGAGTCATTATAATTTATGAATATTTAATTTGGTTAACTTTTTCCACTTTCAGGTAAAAATCAAAAGAATTATAGATTTATTTTTAAAAAATAAAGAAATATAGACCAATATATTAAAAAAATTTGTTCCCAACTCACCAACAAGAAAAATGTAAAAAGTCATGTTTGAGACCACCAATAAGATGAATTGAAACATTCAAATATACACAGAAAAATAATAAATAAATAAAAAACACACGTTTATAAGTTTTTATTGGTGGTTGACCTAAGCATGAATTTGTCATGACTCATGGCCACATGGTTTTACTCCATTTTTTTTTTCAGTTTAAAGTTAAACCTAACCTTCTTCAGAAAATGCCTTTCCTAGTTTAAAGTTTTTCTTTATTGGATAATAATAATACTAAAATAAAAATGAAAGAGGGTTACCACCAGCATTTGACAATTATTCTTGAGGCAAAAAATAGGAGCAGTTGCCATTAGAAATCAGTAACAAAACAGGGTTAATACTTGGATTGTCTCGAGTTCGAATTTTATTTTTTTTCATTCAAATTGAATCAAATTCGTATCTTTAATTTTATTCAAATTGAATCAATTTCATATCTTTAATTATTTAAAATTAATCTAAATCCGTTTGAATTCAATCACAAAACAACCCATGCAAGTTGTTAGATTAGGACTTGCTTTGTTAGCTCTACTTGTATTAAACAATTATTCTTAAGGTAAAAAATAGGAGGACTTGTCGTTACAAATTAATATATAATTTTGTATTAAAAAATAAAATTATATTTTTTAATTTTAAAGAGGAAAGTTCATGATTTGAATCTTACATATTATACAATATAATACGACAATAAGATTGAGAAGATGATGAAAACTCAAAGACAAAGTCTGGCAGAATATATAGCGTCAGTCCAAATTTTTGTTATGACACCAAAGAAATCGAATCAAAATGATTTGAAATGAGTGATGCTACCTAATGATCTAACATTGTTTTTTATCCCAATTCGTGTGATATACTATTACTTTTGACTACATGTATACAAGTACAGACGTGGGTTTCAGTAAGCATTTACCACTTTAGATGTGGAAACGAGGGCCAATTTTATCATCATCCCATTTATTGCCCATTTTCCATGTGTAATGTACTGTGAAGCAGGCTGACCTAGTTACAGGAACCCAAATAATGAAAGTGGAATCCAACCAACACATAATTTGTATATTAATTTATATATTTATATCATATTTTATACATGCGAATATTTTTTTTTTTATTAAATTTATGTAAGATATATTTTAAAATTTTAGACTATGTAATTTGTATATTTTTTAATATATTTTTATATATTTTATCATATAATATTTTATATTCACTTTCTTCCCTTTTCCTTCAAATTCTCTTCTCTCTCTTTCTTTCTTTATAATTGTCCATCGACACTCTTTGCAACTTCAGGGCTCAACCTCAAAAATCCAGCTCTCTCCTATAACTCATTGAGCCCTTTTTTTTTCTCTCAATTCCTCTCATTTCCTTTCCTCCCTACCCAAAAAGAAAAAAGAAAAGCACCAAACAACAAATTCAATAGAAAATCAAAGCCAAACCAAAACTAAAACGGAAAAGAAATTTAAGAAATGGCTACACCGCCAGACACAAGCAAAACGGTGAAACTAGAGAGATACAACAGCTATGTCCGAAAACTTCATAGCACAAAACTGCTAAATGCTTCATCTAAGCTTCTCTTCCGAGTAACCCTTCTCACTGCTTTAGTCTTGATCCTCTTCTTTACCATCAAGTACCCTCCTCTTTCTGATAATCCTCATCATGTCCCTCCTCACCACCACAGCTTCCTCTCCACTTCTCTTTTCTCCTCCACCTCCGCTGGCGGCGCCGCCTGGGAGAAACAAGTCCGACACTCTTCCACACCACGTAGACCCAATGGGTTCTCTGTTTTAGTCACGGGCGCCGCCGGGTTCATTGGTTCCCACTGTTCCCTCGCTTTGAAAAAACGAGGCGATGGGGTTCTTGGTTTAGACAACTTTAATGATTACTACGATCCTTCTTTGAAAAGAGCCAGGCAAAACCTTTTAACCAAGCACCAAATTTTCATCGTCGAAGGTGACTTGAACGATGCACCGTTGTTAACCAAGCTGTTCGATGTCGTCCCTTTCACTCACGTGCTTCACTTGGCAGCTCAGGCCGGGGTACGTTACGCCATGCAAAACCCACAATCGTACGTAGGCTCCAACATTGCAGGATTTGTTAACCTACTTGAGGTAGCCAAAGCAGCCAATCCTCAGCCATCCATTGTTTGGGCCTCTTCAAGCTCCGTTTATGGCCTCAACACTGAAAACCCATTCTCCGAACGAGATAGGACCGACCAACCAGCTAGTCTTTACGCTGCTACCAAGAAAGCAGGAGAAGAAATTGCCCACACTTACAACCACATTTACGGTCTTGCCCTTACAGGACTAAGATTCTTCACCGTATATGGTCCCTGGGGAAGACCCGACATGGCTTATTTCTTTTTCACTAAAGATATTCTTCAAGGCAAGCCCATTGACATTTACCAGACGCAGTATCAGAAAGAGGTGGCGCGTGACTTCACCTACATTGACGACGTCGTGAAGGGGTGTTTAGGGGCGTTGGACACGGCTGACAAGAGCACCGGAAGTGGTGGCAAGAAGAAAGGGCCAGCTCAATTGAGAGTTTACAATTTGGGGAACACCTCTCCTGTCCCTGTTGGGAGATTGGTCTCAATACTGGAAGGATTGCTAAACACAAAGGCCAAAAAACATGTGATTACGATGCCAAGAAATGGGGATGTGCCCTTCACACATGCCAATGTGACCTTGGCCTACAAGGACTTTGGCTACAAACCCACCACAGATTTGGCCACCGGACTCAGAAAATTCGTAAAATGGTACGTAAGTTATTTTGGAGTTCAGCCAAGGGTAAAAAAGGAAACTCAACATACCGAAGAATCCGGCTAGTAAGATTAAGCTTCATAATCAATCACATGGTTGGTCCAATTTTTTTTTTCTTCCACCCTTTAATTTCTTCATATTTTCTTCTTTTTTTTAGAGTTATTTTTGTGGTCCTATTATGTAAAAAGGATCAATAGATGTAGATTTGATGATATAGAAAATGATAAATGTAAAAAATAAAATAAAAGACAAATTGAGAAAGGGAGAATAATGAGGAGTAATTATGTGGTAGGATCTTGACCGTTGATTCTCGTATGAAATGGAAAAAAAATTGTGATTTGAACAACAATGTCAATGATGAGAATAAGCCGCTTCTATATGCAATTTTCTTTTATATAGTTTTGCTTATTAATACCATACATGCTATTACTGCCTCTTTAGTTAATAAATTTGACTGATTATTACATTGAAATGTATCATGATTTATGATTTTTTGATTTGTTGATAAGTAAAATAATATTTTTATTAATTACAATTACTTGTGGTTAAATATTTAATATTGAATTGAAATGAATTTCAATTTTGTTAAATTTTTAATTACTTCATAACTTTTTTAAAATATGCTTAAAATTAATATTTTCCAATTAATAATTAAAAAAATATATTTCAAATTTTATAACTTTTCAATAATTAATTATGGTGTGTCCTAATAAATTATTTAATTTTGACTTATACATATATTTTTTTTTCATGAAAATACATCTTTAACTTTTTTTAAATTGCATATATTTTATATTCTTACATATTTTTTTAAGTTTCTAATATACATTTACATCTCCTTACCCTATTACTTACCTGATTAAAGAGGATATTATGCATATAAATCCTCTCAAATCTGTAATCTTCAAATGTCGACTCCAATAATATGTTGACTGATCCTTAGATCAATCAACTTATATAATCTTGTACATTAACTATTATGTAATTATGATCCACAAACTTATTATTTTGATTATTGTAATTAAGATATTCACGTATTATATTATCATTTGTATTATATCATCATATGTAATACATGTGAACAAAAATTTTAACTGTTTAGAATTTAATAAATTCTTTATTTCTCTAAAAGTACGATGCCTTTTATGTTAGTTTGTTTGTTTTGAATCCTGAATTTTTGGTGTCATGGCTGGAGGTAAGGATTAGATTGTTTTGTGGGACGTGACACAAACATTGATTGAATTATAAATCAATAATTTAAAAATCATTAGTACTATTTTTTGCCTAAGATGAAGCTCGAGTTAAGCATCTAAAAGAAAAAAAATAAAATAAAATCATAAAACAAAAAAAATTATTTTTAAAATTTTTATGAGGCATATGTCCAATTTAAAAATAATTGAAAATAGGTGAAAAGTTTCATTGTATTCAAAATACTCTAATTGTTATATATCCATTTCCTTATTAACTTAAAATTTTAAAATAATTTATTCTGTTGTATGGTATCAATGAAAATAATTTTTTGTGTTATGTGAAATCAATGAAGATAATGAAAATAATTTATTGTGTTTGTGTGGTATCAATGAAAATAAACCAAAAATTATCGTCCTTAACAAAATTTAGAAAAAAAAAAAAGAGAAAAAAGCTTAACCTTTTTGCAAAATTAAAATAGAAAATTAACCTATAAATTATTTGCTTAGATAGTACCTTTAAATGAAAATATATTATAAATAATATTCTCTCACTTGCAATTAATTATGCTTGAATAGCTAATAATAAATTGAAGTAAATTTCATTCTTTGTTATTTCTTAATTTCTTCGCATCTTTTTTTAAAATATGTTTGTTAGTTAATATTTTTAATCAATGACATGCAAATATTAAATTATTCATGTGCAACGCACGTGTAGAGAAGACTAGTATTTATAAAAACGAGAATAGAAACTTATTTAAAATATGGTAAGCAACAAGGCTAATATAAAATTTAAGTTAAGTGAAAAGGAATTTATAATTATTTTTTCATTAAAAAATTAGCATGAAAATTGTCGTTTTCATTTCTTCACCCTACATTCTTTATCAAATGATGTAGGATTATTAATTTTGGATTGGCATGCCTAAACTAGCAAATGTTAATTAATTTCTTGATTTGTTTAAACAAAAAATATTAAAGTTTTGTGCAGTTGATTATTGTTAGTTTTGAATATAAAATGATTATATACATGAGAGTGAAAAATTATTTAATCTCATTCTTTAAATATATTAAAATTAATTATTAAAAATAAAAAATAAAAAATATTAATATAAATTGATCTCTTATCATTCTATACTTGGCATCATCCATGACATATTCTTTCTTAAAGAAGGGAATTAAATTGAATTATCTTATTAAATTTCTTCCATATTTAAATTTGTTTATGTATTTATTAATTTAACCACTATCACTAGTACGTTATTCTTGTTTTTGTTTTATTATGATAACAACTACTAAATTTGACTAGAACATAGGATAGCTATGCATATTCTATTGTATTCTTGTCGGTTCAAGCTAGTTAAATTACATTGGTATAATTAGGGTTAATATAATGAATGATTATTAAATTATAGTCAAAATTTTAATATAATGCCTAGACTTTAAAAGTATTTAATTTAGTAGTTGAGCTATGAAATTGTTAATTAATGTGACATTTACCTTTAATATGATTAATTTTAAAAGATTAATGACATTTGACAGATAAATAACTTTTCAATTACGATATTAATTAATAAATTTATAGTTTAACCATCACATTAAAAAATTTTTAAATTTAAATACTATATTGAATATATGACTATAACTTAAGAATTATTCATAATATTAACCCATATAATTAATTGAAAATCCATCATTTATAACATATGGAGTTAAAAATTGCACAAAAATATAAAATACAAATGCCAATAAACTTATACATGTATGTGTAAATATTAAAAAAAATGGAATTCTTAATCTATTGATATATATAATATAGTTGAAAAAGAAAATTAATTAAATTAATTGAAGCCTATTATCATGATAATGCCAATTAAACTTTTGCAATAAATTAACATGTATGCATATGGGTGCAACTAAATAGTTAACCTCTAATTAAGTTATGATTTAGTTGAAGAGGTCACATTCCACAAAGGTCCCCAAATTGAAATACATAAAAAAGGAAATGATAAAAACCCTTAAATTTAAAATGTTGAATGAAGGATTTTGAAGCATAAAATAAGACATTTAATGATCAAAGCAAAGATCAAGAAAAGTGAAAATTAATCAACTCTCCTTGGGAGGAAAAAATGAAGGGATTATCACAAAGTGGAATTTGAAGAATCAAATAAGCAAAAGGCATCTAATGATCCAAGCAAAGAAGAAAAAGTAAGCCATCAACCCCCCCAAAAAATATGAAGAATGATAAAGTGTTTCAATTCAATGTATGTTTTTTTTTGGTTAAAAGCAAAATAATTGGATGAACTTTTCAGGACAGGAAGACTTGGTAACCACGCTTTACTAACATACAACCACACATTTCCATAGCCTTTTGCTCTTTATATAGGTAGGCAAAGACCCCACTTTCTCTCATTTATTATTATTATAAAACTACTTTGTGTTTTGTTTTTTATTCATTTTTTTTACAATTTTGGCTGGTCACCGACACTATTGTCCATCTTCATTTCTTCAATTTATACATCTATTTGATTTATTTTTTAGTTAATTTTTTGTTATTGGTAACTGTTTTTTTAATGAGATTTTGAAGGTTTTTTGATTAAAAAAAATTTAGGATAAGATGAGACTTTCTATTTTAAGATCAAGACATATCTCAAAATTTTTAAAAAATTTATATTAAATTTACGAATCATTCATCAAAAATAACTACCCACAACGAAAATGACAACGAAAATAAAAATTAAAGCTTACAAGCAAAATGATTATTGTTTTAAAACATAAGATAATTTAGTAATTCAAGCAGATTCAATGTTCATTTGGTCTAGAAAAATGAAAAAAAAAAAAAAAAGATAAATCCAATTATGAACCTTTTTAATAACAACATGCTTTGATTTGATGCAATAATTCAGTTCAGGTTTGGACTGCATTAACAACCAACTGTTTAATGTTTGTCAAAAATGTCAAAGACAAAACCATGTGAATGTCATGCAATGAAAGAGAAATAAACAATGGCATAACTAATTCATGACAAAAATTATATCAGATTTTTCCTTTAAAGGACAATAAGTAAGCTTTAAGCAAACCTTTGTGGACCTCTCACACATGACATGTTTTAAAGCAAACAATATAACATGCTCTGATGCATTAAATCTCAAATGATAACCTGTGTAAATTATTTTTATTAATTAATTCTTTTATTCAACTTAGTTGTAAAGTTGAAACATTCCCTATTTTAAGGATTCATTTGGTTGTTAGAACTTTAACATTATACATTTGTTAGATTTTGAAAGTTGGAATTTTAGAAATTGATCAAATAAATTTTGTTAAACATGTAAAAAATGAATTGTTAATAAATTAAAATTTTTAATTTAAATATATGATCGTAAGAGATTTAAAATTTAACAGAATAACACCAATTTAACATATCTACAAGAATCACGTAACAAAATTTGATAATATGTTAAGTATTTTGATTTAAAATAATTTACAATAGATAAAAGGATCCGAATTGAATACAATACTACAAAAAATATAAAATTTAATAAATATTAAATAATAAACAAAATTTTTAAAATTTAATATTTAAATCCCAATACATCTCACATATAGTCCCCTTTTTTTTTTTTCAAATTATAACTTTTTTTGTATAAAAAAATACTTGAATTGTTCATATAAATATTCTTAACTTAATCTCATTTCCAATTTTTTTTTATAAAAAAAGTAATTATTTTTTTCCATAACAAATATTTTTATTTTTATAAATTATTATTCTATACAAATAAACATCTGACAAAAACTATTAATATTTTTATTTGTTTAGAGTTAATATCAAGGATAATTTTTAAATTATAGTAAAATATTTAATTTGATATTTAAATTTTAAAAATATCTAATGTGATAGCTGAATTATGAATCTCTAACTATTATAATACTTACATTTAACGTAACTATCTTTAAATGATGACACATAATTAACATACAATCTTTTAAATATCATGTTAATTAATAAATTCATAATTTAAATACCATATTAAAAATTTTTTATATTTAAATATCACATTAAATATTTTATTATAATTTAAAAATCATTTATGATATTAACCCGTCTGTTTATATTATAAATCCATGCATATGAACTAATTGCTGCTTGCTTTTCCTATGCAAAAACCTAGATTAGAGTCTCCATCTAATATAAAAAAAAAAAAAAGTTTATAAACCAAATTTAATAACTCTAAAAATAATCCTTTCAAAAGAAAAAACATATATTGCCATGTGACATCAAAATAAATATGTTATTGAGATATCTCAATTTGCATGGTGAAGGGAATGTGTCAAAATTCCAAATGAGTTATCATTACAAATTTTTCCTTTTTTTTTTCTTTTTTGATGAATTCCTTATTACACAAACAAACGAAATTAAAAGACTAGTGCGTATCTTATTTTTTTAATTAATTTTTTATTTTTTTTATATATCCTAAAAATTATGTATTATCCTATTAATTTCGCTCGTCGAATTAAAAACTATACTTAAGATAATATAATATAGCATAATTAGAAGAAAAGCAGCCTTAAATGTGGGCTTAAGAGATTTGGTAAGTTGAGCATAGCAGAGCATCTCATCTTCAAAGATCTTCAAAAGCAGAAAAAATATCACCACCTATGTAATCGTTATCAACCAAGCTCACCAAATAATAGCTGCTCTGAATCTGCAAACAATGGAAAGGAAAGCATTATCATGTTTCAATCCCCCCCCCCCCCCCCCCAAAAAAAAAAATGAAGTTGCAAGAGAGATTGGATAAGTTCATTAGTTAACCTCTTCCAGCAATTTTTTTGATGGATCACCCTCTGGATACAAGGCACACCATGCTCTTGACCAAATTTCAAATGCTTCATCCTTCCACACCATGAAGCTGGCGGGATCCACCACCGTTGGCTGGATTATTTCTTTAGCTGGGAAGACTCCCCATGTTACTGCATTAACATCGGTCAGGCCAATGTTTGATAACAGATTCCCGTTTTTGTTGGTGGCAAAGTAGGTAACACACGGGATCGCCTTGCACTTGTTGACAAGTGCATCTAATTTTTCCATTGAGCAGAAGAACTCAAGATAAGCCTTCTGGTAAACATACCCTCCAGGGCCTCCCCAACCTGCAATTGACTCGAATAATAAGACAAAAACATATAGCACCATGCATGTGCAAAAGAATCAGTTTGTTCAACCAAATGGAGGATGCATAATGGAAATATAAGTCACAGACACTTGTACTTACCAACAGATGGAGAATCCGAGCGCTCTCCATTGACAGCTGGTTGGCTATTGATGGTAAGGAAACCCTTCAAATTGATCCTTCCCAGCTGTTCATGTATGATCTTTGTCTCTGGCTGAAGGCCATCCAATTCTGACCAAGGACTACTTCTCAACTTACCCAGACAATAATTTTTAAATTTCTGATAAACACGAGTTCAAGAAGAACAATATCATAATTATATCCAATGGACTTAAAAAGAGAAAAGACTAAATAGATTCCAAGCTACAAATTTTACCTCTTGAACGTCGTCAATGCTTTTCAATGGGGTAACCCATTCTTCATGAAGTTTCTTGTCACGTGCACGGTGCCTCATGAACTGTTGAGAAATTATATCACTTTGGTCATACAAAGGTAAAACCATCCAAAATAAGTAATGAGGACAGTTCCTCAACCAAACAATAGTTCCCAACATATCACCATTTGAGCAAAAAACAATATCATAAAAACAAAAAAAAAGGTCATTTTTACATGAAAACAAATATTTGCCGATTGCAAGAATAAATAAACAAATAAATAGAAAAGTTGAATATTTAACTATTTATCAAATTCATATGAACATTTGGCATTTCCTATTCAAATGGAGGTTGCATTACAGTCTATAGGGTGTAAATTCCAAGTCCTCACAAATAAGGAACAAAAATTCCCACCATGAACATGTTAACAGTTTTTCTTTTGTTGGCCAGATTCCCAAAACATGTTAACCCAGTTACTTTCGAGTCATGATTGTGTCAACCAACACAATGCATTTAGTGTTGTCAAAGATGCAAGGTGCAACCCAGTTAGGACCCTTATACGGCTTGAGTCACAAGGAGTAAAAGAAATGCTTACATGACTGAAGGTGAACAAATAATAAATATATATATAAATAAAACACAGAAGATCCTATATAATAATAGTAATTAAAAAGCTTAAAAAATATGGTTTTTGTCAATAAATGTTAAAGATTTTGATTCATTTAATTGTCTAATGTGTTGGGAAGATCAAGCACTACAACAATAACAACAACAACAACAACAACAAACTATGCCTCGTATCCCATAAGTCTAGGGTCGGCTGTATGAAAGACCGAGAATCAAGCACTTTGAAAATAAATTGAAAGTGATTATTTACCAAGCACCAGCTCATATTTTCTTCCTTCCATTTTCAAAAACAAAAAGTTGTGCATGGACAATATGACTATTTTTTTGTTTTTGATTCCTCAAGATGAGACTTATGATACATCCTCTAAAAGCAACAGGTGGGACACCTAAGGGACCAATGAACTTGTATAGGAACTGCATCCCTTCTCCTTCACTTTTCTCCATCCTTTATTCATGTTTGATTATCATGTTCATGCATTCGAGTACCAGCCCTTCAGAATCCCAATCCAAAAAAAAAAAAAAACTCTCTGAATTCCACTAAAAGTTAATCTTTGTCATAACCAGCCCATTAAAAAAACCCCTAGATCAATTAAACCCACACCCAAATCCTACTTTTCTACTGTGCTTATCGCTGAATTAAGATCCCATAAAATATCCAGTAACTTATAATAAGATCTGGCATTTAGGTAGAAGCCACTATTATCATTTATGATTAAAGGAAACTGTTTAAGACCGAGTTCATTGCCATACAATCTACTATCAAATGAACATGTCAATTTTATGTGCCCATAACAAATGAAATAGTCAAAGAGGATGCAGTAAGCAGAAAAACCACCTTAACCATAACATAATCTACATTTATATAAATTCGCCATCATATTTTCCACAAATTTGCTGATTTCTATCAATGAAAGGATATTAACATCAACTTGTTATTGTGCAAGCCAAGATTGAAGAAACAAATCACAGTTACATTTCCTCAAAGAAAAATTGAATGCATTGAAGATATTTTCAGTATCACTAATAAGGAACAAAATAGAGTGAAGTTCAATCATTTTGTATACCTGATGGTCAGTGAGTGCACCATATGATGGATTTCGAGAATCACCCCATCGCCCATGTGGATAGTGATCCCAACCAATAGTCCTGGATATGTAACTCTTTGGACGGTTAGCCCTGTCATCATTAGCTAGAAACATTAATATCCGGGAACATTGCACCATTATATTATAATGCAGTAAACTGCAAACATCTAGCCATGAACAGTGAAGTTAAACATTTATCACATACCAAAATATAGGACGAACATCTTCTTTAACACGAAAAACATTTGCAGGGCGTCTCCAAGGTAAACACCTAGAAATTTTGGACTCTTCAAACAATCCAAGATTCTGCCAACATAAGCCTATTGTTAGTATAGGGCAAATGAAGTAATATTTATACATTAGAAAATAAAGATGAATACAGCTTGACCCAAAACTATAGCCAAAATTCATTTTCTCATTTACTTTCAATTGAGGAAAAGAAAGTTCTGACTGATTATCTTAAATTGATTGACCAACAATAAGTCACTTAAATGAAATTTGCGAGTAAATCCCAATCTTATTCTGTTCTTGGCTGTCTTTTCTTTCCTTCATTATTTCAACTGATACTCAATTATTTGAAAGTATACTACGAGAAAGTATGAAACTGAAACCAATAAATAGTTCAAGGTTATCTTAAATAAGTGAAGAACAAAAACATATAGTTCAAGAGTTTTCATTAACCCTGTAAATGTTCAATTTAAGGAAGAAAGAAATCTTGAACTACATAATTATTCAAGATTTTTTTCTTTTTAAATTTCAAAGTTCAAGAAGTCAAATGATATCCAGTAATAACATCTTCTACATGCCATATAAGATAATAAGACCAACCATTAGTATAGCTAATGCAGATTTCTCCATGTTTAATGTATAAAGGTGCAATGTCCTAATCCCATGAGCTAAAATCTTGCGGCACATTTCCGTTCCAAGGTGAATTCCATAGGATTTGACAGCTTCTTCGTTGTCCTTGATAGGCTCTAAGGCAGCAGTAATCTCATGTGGTATCTACAATAAGCCATTAGATGCAGATGTTACATTTGAAAAACATTAATGGAAATAACCACCAAAATAGTCTTTTATATCCACACTTGAAAAAAACAGCCGAAACAGTGCATTGTGATGATATGGGATGCCCTCCAAATTAGGGGCCTCCAAAATCTTAGAACTTTTAGCCTTTAAGAAGAGTGACACTGCATTAATTTCCTTTAAGCAAAAATGCAAAAGGAAATGCTTGCATTATTCTTCTATTACCATGGGTTTACCTCAATGAGCATCTACCCTGCTTCTGGAATTATTTGAAAAACTAGCTAGTACTTTTTAGGTTTTTCCATAAAAGAATTCTGGAAAGTAGAATATCCAACTAATACATGCACTGTTTCAATAAAATTTACCAACTGATACCTGTTAAAAGGCTCAAAAATACCTGAGCATAATTTTCTCAGACTAAAAGGAAAAGAGGGGCAAATGTATGACAGGAATAACAATGCTTGTTATGGAAAAGTGAAAAGTGAAACAGGTTATACCACATACCTTAGTTTTGCAGAAGCCAGTCATTCGCAAGAAACCCTTGTAGTTATTAATGGGCATAATACCCGGCACAATAGGACATGAAATTCCAATTTGGCGACAGTCATTGACAAATTTTAGAAAGATATCGGTATCATAAAACAGTTGAGTAATAATCAGATCAGCTCCTGCATCAACCTATGGAGTAAAGAGGTATTAGCACAAAAATTAATTAATACATAGAATGGAAAAAAGAAACGTTAAGAGTAGGACAAAGTTTTTCCAATTAATTAGTGAGTTAAGAGTACAACCTTTCTCTTCAAGTAAGCAAGATCATTCTGATAAGCTTCAGGTGTCGCTACACCATTACTTCCTATGGCATCAGGATGTGCCTCTGAGCAAAAAAGCAAACTATTAATGGTCAAAGCCACAAGAACCAGCCTCTTTTTAGCAGACAATTAATCAAACAAAATAGAAGACAAAAGAAAAAAAAAGATGAAAAGCACCTGGATAACCAGCAACTGTTATGCCAAAGTAATCACCATATTTCGCTCTAATATGTTTCACCTAGAGTTTAGAAAGAAAAGCTAGTAACATATTTATTAAAAAGAAGAAGAAGAAATGAAAACACAACAGAAAGGACAATGCTTTTACCAGATCAAGGGCACAGGCGAAGCCACCTTCGACCTGGACAAACTTGTCCTGACCATGAGGAGGATCACCTCGGAGGGCAAGAACATTCTGAATGCCATTGGACTTGATGGTCTGAAGAGCATGGTCAATCTTCTCTACAGGCATATTGGTGCAAGTGAGGTGCATCATTGTCTCCACACAGATAATATTCTGCATCTTGTTGGCAATGTCCAAGGTGAGATCAGCAGTGGAACCACCTGAACCCCATGTAATGTCACAGAATGATGGATTATGAGCAACCATACGATCCATCCTCTCAAACAGGTTGTCTACTCCATCCTCAGTCTTTGGAGGGAAGAACTCGAAGGAAAAAACCACTTTCCCTTGGTCGTCTTGCACAGACTGGATCTTCTCTATCACTTTCATCTTTAGCTGGATTGGACTCTCCGTGTCACCAACAACTGCAACGGAAATTAAAGAACTGAACATGAAACTCAGATGTTCGAAGAAACAAAGAAAAGAACAACAGACAGCAGCAACCAAACAAAGCCAACCCAAATCTGAAAGAAAAAACTTATAATTCAGAGCAAAAACCCATTTTTCGCTTTGAAAAAGAACACAAAAGAAAAAAAAATGAACAATTTACACCAACCCTTTCAAAGTAAATCAGATCACCTAAAACATAAATGATATATTAAAGTTACTCATTGTCAAGAACCAAAGAACCATCAAATATAGACAGAATCTTCCAAATCCAATATTCGAGGCTTGTTCTAGTACATTGTCCCAATTTCATAGAACAAAACTACGATAAACAAATCAGAGTGAAATCCCCAGAAAACAGGAAAGAGAAAGGAAACTCACAAAAGAGTTACGGCTGAAGAGAGAGATCGGAGAGGCAAGAATGGGTCTGGAAGCAGGAAGTATTTGAGAGAGATGGGTAGGGGTTGGTGTGTTTGAAATGACAAAGTTGCCACTCAAGAACCCAGAAGCCAGTATTAGCCACCAATCACCAGACACCAACTTGAGAGTTGAGACTGTAAACCCTTTTCTGTACTTACGATACGATACGATAGCTCCTATGTTACCTATCGTTTACCAACCATAGACAGCGACATGTTGCAGTCAGCTTGAAACATTGACAAATTTTTGTTAGCATTTCTTAACAAAACTAAGAATTATTGGTATCTTACTTAAATACAATCCGATGCATTAATTAAGATGATTTTTTGTAATAATATAATTGTGTGTATATATATATATATAGTATAGAATAATATAATAAGTTATCCATCCATGACGTACACTTGAACATACCTATCTTTTTTTATCAAGTTTACTCAGTTTTGTTTTAATTATTATGAAAGTAAAATTACATATTGCAGAGAGATGGAAGTAAATTGATTCGTTTGTTCATGTTGCTGTTTTGTTTACCTTTTGGTTGGAAAATGGCACTGGAACATAGTATTGAGCTGAGCTTGAATCTAAGAAGGGCGGACCCAAGTTGTTGGCTTACTCATAATCAAATTAAAGCCTAAATTTCACTTTGCTTCTCACTCATGCATGCATGCCCATTGGACACCATGGTAGCTGTAAGATTGTATCCAAGGCATTTTTTTATCCTCAATTGTACTGTGAAATGCATTTGAATACTCAATGTTGCAATTAAAAACTTTCAATCGAACCCCCCAGCCATTGGAGATCAAAAGAAAAAGTATCGAATGCTTAGTGTAAAGATATAAAACATTTTTCAGACAATTCAATATTACATGCAATCACATTATTACTGTTACATTTATATTTAAGCACATATCATTATATTAATTTTAATTTCATCATTTAAATAAAAACTCTCCCAAGGAAATACAATAGCTAACAAGAGCATCCAAGACATCTTTTACCCTCCATTTGTACCGTTAAATGGTATCCAAGGCATTTTGGACGGCACTCAATGGTGCAATTAAAGACTTTCAATCTCACTACCCTCCAGATGAAGATTGAAAGGGCCAGCGTCTAATGGTCTCTGTCCCATAAGACAGTTGGCTGCTCGACTGCATTCGACTGGGCTACTGTAAAAACACAATCATTTTTCAATTATGAGCATCTCATTTTCAGACATAATAATCCATTATCTTTGATCCGACAATTCAATATCATATTTTATTTTATTGCCTTCATCACATTTATATTTAAATATATATTCCTATCATTAATTTTAATTTTATCATTACAATATCTAATATCACTGTTCTAACAATTAATTTTATCCTCATTATTATTTTAAATCTCACCACCTATTAAAATAGATTCTAAGGGTTATTACCTTGACTGATCCAACCGATCATAAACCAAATTATAATCAAGAATATTTGGTAAATTCAGCATTTTAAACTATACAAAATTTATGATTATTAAAAAATAAACTAAACGTTATGAGAGAAATGCAAGGAAGGTGTAGAAAGAAATAGGTATACATTCATTAACTAAACGAATGTGAAATAATAGATAGAACAAGACTTTATATCTGCCTAACTAGAAACATCTGACAAACAATTGAGCTCCAAGAATTTGGAGATTAAAGCAAAAGAATTATATATATTATATATACATACATATATATATATATATATATAGAATTTCCTTCCCTTCAATCCTATATAACTCATCCAAGGAAAAGAATCCCAACTTTAAATGGTTATCCTTTCCCACCCTAACTCAAGAGTAAAGAGCAACAGGGTTATAACTCAAGAAATGAGAGATATAAGCTCTCAAACAGGGCTGTGGACCTGTAAATTAAGTTCACAGTTCCTTAATGCAGGCAGATACCATAAAATTCCCCTGCAACAAACAAGAGTCAAGATACTTTAACCACAATACATGCAATAACGAGCACATTAGGATCGCACCATGCGATTTCAAAAGCTTACCTTGCCAATATAAATATTAAATAATAACATGCAAAAATCGGCAAAAATTTTGATCCGATAGCATAAAGCAGTTGCATAAGTTCAGCACACCTTGAAAATAAATAAACACATCCTCAAATCTAAACAAGTAAACTACAGGCTCTAGAAACACGCCCATGGCTAAATTCTGATGCAGGAGCCTAGTAACCAGAATCCCCTCTAAATCCACCTCCAAAGCCTCCATCACCATTGAAACCACTGTTGCCACCAAATGATCGAGGGCCACTAGGTCTTTCATTGGCATAACTTACTCGAACATTTCTCCCATTGAGTTCCTGCAATTTCAGAACAAATATGTCAATTAGTAATTCAGCAGAAACAGGTTCCACATATCAACATTTTTTTCCTCACCTGACCATCCATGGCTGACAAGGCATTGCTGGCAGATGCATCATCAGCAAAGTTAACAAAACCGAAGCCCCTAGATCTCCCAGTGTCTCTATCAATGATAACCCTAGCTGATCAACATAAATCAAAGAATGAAAACATGAACAGAAACAAGCACTACATTCATACCATCCTCAACACCATAAAAATGTAATAATGTTATCACTGGGTAAACACGATACCAGTAACAATTGTTCCTAAGCATAAAAATTCACTGGCCAAAAATATTAACCAGGTATACAAGGCAAACTTGTTATAATTTCAACTTCTTCCATGAGAAAATTCCAAGAAAGATAGAGATATGGTATGCAATAATCGACAATATAAATTAATAACCATTTAGATACTACAAGCCACCACATATAGCATAGAGTCCAGACATGGCTAGCTATGTGTTCTGTACCCAAGACACCCAATAAAAAAACAGCAAACAACTAACAAACACATTAACAATGCTAACCACTCTTTGTTGGCTATTACTAGTCACTCGTAGCAAATGAAAGACAGAACAAAGGATAAAACACATTTCTCCTTAGTACTACTTAATGTGCTAGACCAAAATAAAGCAGCTCATTCATCTGCCAGACATGAAACGAGGCTACTATTCATATGCTCAACTAAAATATTCAACTTAATAACGATGTCAAAAACCTTAACAGTATCATTAGCATTATCAATACAACTCACCTTCAATGACGTCACCAAATCCAGAAAATGCTTCCTTGAGAGACTGATCATCAGTTCCATATGAAAGACCTAAGAACCATAGATTCAAGTCAAATACTCAATAAATTTTATTCAAATCTAATATTCAACCAACAATTGAATATGTATCAGTACCTCCGATAAAAAGCTTTTTGCTTGATGTTGACATGAAGCGAATAGAGTTAAGCATGGATGTCATTGGGATTTGCCCATTTTGCCTCAGAAGGCTTCCAAGTTTGCCAGAAAATGCCATTATAATACCTGACTGTATCATTTTTGCAACAACACCATCAAGCCACACAAACAAAAACGATATGACAAGTTAGTTGAAAAGGCAAGATAGCCCAATTAATAACCAAAACAAACCACATACACACACACACACACACACACATATATATATACATAATAATATGAAACCATTTGCAGTCTTACAGTATCAACACTACTGTGAAAAAAATTTAAAGGAACTGGAATTAGCAGCAAGACCAAGGCACTCCAGGCTATGCTCAAAATAACTTAAAAGCCATCCCCAACAATACTATAACATTTATGTTCTAATTTCTCCATGACCAAAGAGACATGAAACATGAACTCTAAAAACAAAAAAGAAAAGAAAAGAAAAAACCCATAACTAAAATCAATAAAACAACACAAATTAACTCAAAAAACCAACAGATCAGAACAAATCAAAACCATAAACCCAAAAGAAAACCATCAGCACAACCTTAAAAAATATTTATTCTTGAGAAAAATTCAATAAATGGATACAAAGAACAAACCCTTATAAGCAAAAACAATAATCTTTACCTTTATGAAAAGAATAAAGCAAAAGGCAAAGAACTTTGTGAGAGGGAAATGAAGGAAGCGGCTAGGGTGTAAGAGTTTGAACGGAAGCAGGAAAAATATTTGTCATTTATAGCGAGAAGGTTTAGGGAGTTTTATTCAGCTGCGGTGAAAATCTATTGCAATCTTTTAAAATTTTGTGCTTAATTAGTTGTACCCTATTGAGAGTTTTGTCAAACGCTAGGTTTGATTATAAAAGTACATTCATTGATGCGTGGAATTGAGCAACCGTAGAGAAAGAAACCGTACATGAGTGCGGCTTTTTGAGGTAATAATCATAACGATGATCCACGTCAGCAAAATATATTGGGATAGGGCTGTGCTTACCAAATCTGCAACAGACAAGAAACAGTTTAATTTGGGCCTGGATTTGGGCTTAACTTTAAATAAGCTTTCCTTTAAAAAAACCTTTTATGTAATTTTATTTTTATTTTTCAAAAATAGATATTCAAATTAAATTTAACATTTTAAAATAAGATACAATAATACCAAACGAATGTGATATAAAAATAGGATACAAAAATAATATGACCTAAAATTTTAATAATAATTATATATGAGTTCAATAAAATTAAAAATATTTTTTATATTTTTCAAATTAAATTTAATATTTTAAAATAAGATATGATGATACTAAACGAATACGATATAAAAATAAGATACAAAAATAATATGACTTAAAATTTTAACAATAATTATATATGAGTTTAACAAATTTAAAAATATATATTTTATTTTTTTATATCGATACAAATTATAATATATAACTTTTATATAAAATATAATGCATATATATAAATTTTAATATTTTATACGATAACTTAAAATCGACTTTTTTAACATGAAAATACTTAGTTTTCATAAACACGAGTTAATTACTCAAATTCACATAAAAAATATTTTGAGGAAAAGAGATTTGAACTTCAATCTTTGAATTATGAAAAACAATACATGTATCTTTTATCAAATTGTCGTAAAAATTATTTTTTTAATTGTATTATTAATTATTGATTATTAATTTATTTTTTAATTTTTTAATTTAATTTTAAAAGAAAACTACTAAAGCATTACTATTATATGATTTACTTTGATTTAGATGAATTGTTTTTCTTGAAAACCCAAATCGATTTATTAGTTTTATTTTCAACTTTTTTTCATAGCATTGATTTTTTAAATATAACAATATTGTTACTAGAATTTAGAATTTAGTAATGAGATTTTTACAACTGTCATTTGATATATAATTAATAAAATTATTTATTGCTTTAGTGTTACTTTTGATGATTTTTATTTTTATTTTTATTTCTTTTATTTTGTGTTGTATAAAATTGAAGATATTGGCATTTGTCTTCATTATTCAAATTTAGAAGTCGTTTCAAAACACTCTGTTTCTAATTGTTTTATTGTAAACCCAAACTTTATTTATCAAATTTATTATGCTTTGGCTGTCATATCGACAACAATTCTTATAAGCTTAAAATTTGATAAATCAAATTAATCACATGTTGGCTTATAAGATAGAATAGGTAAAATCAAATAAAGCAAGCAACGTATTCGCAATTGTACACTCTCTCTCATTCTTTATTTTCTTACATATTTTATTGATTTATGTATTAGAGTATTTAAAATAAATTAATTCATGAGTCGAGTTAGACTAGATTCAGGTCGGGTTGAGTTTAGTGTGATATTCTAACACTTTAAACAAATTTAGATTCGGTCTGTTTGATTTTTCGAACCTCATTTTATGTCTAAATTTATTTTTATATGTAATAATAAAATTTAAATTCGTTCAAAATATTAGTATTTAAAATTGAAAAAAAATTATTTTTTATAAATTATTAATTTTAATTGAATTTGTGAATTATTTGAGTTTAAGTCTAATTTAATTTTATTGAATATAATTTAAAAATAAATCATTGTTTTGTATAAAAAAGAAATTTACTTTATTTTATTATAAGTAATAAAGCAAATAGATTTTATTTATTATAAAAAATAAAACAAATCGACTTTATTTTATTATAATAAAAATATATTTTTTTAATTTTCAAGTCGAGCTTGAATCTTAAATGATGAAACTTAAGGTTGGTCCTATTTTTTTTATTGAACCTCATTTATTTATCCAGATTCATTTAACGAGTTTAATATCTATATTCATGTCCTTTAGATTTTCGGATAAACTTTCTAGTTCGAACGTATTATCCAGTCCTTGAAGATATCTATTCCAAAAATAATATCTTTGATGCTTTCGATTTTTTTTTTTACAATAAATCATGTCTACCTATGGGTATAATCGATTGAGTTCAAGTCGATATAGTATCAAGCTCGATTCGAAATTTGAAGTTCGAAACTCAACTTGAACTCGATCGAATTTTATTTTTCTTACTCAAACTCAACTCGATATAGAAATTGAGCTATTCGAGTTTGCTCAATTAAACTTGATTATTTATGTTCGAGCTCGAGTTCGATATAGTTTATTAATTAAAATAATAAAAATATATTTAAATATAAAAACTTGATTAAGCTCGCGAGCTATTTGAATCGAGTATAAAAAAATTTGAACTCGATTTAATCGATGAATCGAGCTACGCAAATTCGAGCTTGTCAAATTCGAGCTTGATTCGATAATAATCAAGCCGAATTTAAATTTTATTAAAATCAAATTCCAATAACTTACGAATACTAATGTATCATTTACACACATACATCTACCTTTTTATTTAACTTCTGACAAGCTCCTCAACCATCGTATTAAAAATTTCATCAATAAAATTAAAAAGAAAAAAAAAAAACCTAAAATTGTTTCAAAACAGTTTTCTTATATATATATTTTTTTATTAGGGTAAAATAGTTACTCCGTACAAACTATTCAAGCTTCTCAATCTTTGTGAAACCCCTTCAGTTTCAGTAAATCAATGTTGCTAAGTATAGTATATCTTTACCTTTGACAAAGTGTGAACGTGATTAAGACTTGAAAGGCTTGACAATGAGTTATGATTAAAATGATAAACAATCATTTTTAAATGACTTCTCTACCAACCATTTCCTTTGACTCTATGTTTCCTTTGGATATAAATTTACTCTATGTATAAGAAGGCCTTGTATGAGATTCATGCATTTTGTTTCCCAATTCTTCATTGCTTGTTTAACTCAAATTCCTATATATATATATATATATATATATATAGAGAGAGAGAGAGAGAGAGAGAGATCCTTTTTATTGTCCTAACATGGTGGCAATTGACAAAATAGTACTAAAAAACAAAAAAAAATCATAAAAAATTAAGTGCATACTACAATTGAATCTTTTGTTCATAAAAAATTAAAACAAAACCATTTTGGAATTTCGTCAAATTAGAAATGAAAATAGTAATAACTTTTGCTATATAAAATTTTATTAGGGTTAAAAGGAATAGACCTTTGACTATGGCCAAAATCTTAAATTCAATTCATAGCATGCAAAGATCATCTTATGACACTTTATTAAATATAAATATCACTTCATTTTGAATTTTGAATTCAAAATCATTGAATTGAAAGACAAAATCAAGTTCCATGTATCCAAAGACAAAGGAATCACCTTCCAAAATCTGCCAAGAAGACCCCATTATTGTTGATGTAAGGCAAGATTTTTCTTTTTTTTTTCATTGAAGAGGCAATAATTGTTGGCTACAATGGAAATTGGGGGGGGGCAATTTTGGACTTTGACCATCTTTGGCAAAACATGGGAAAAAAACAATAGTTTCTGGAGATAGAAACAATCACCATCAATCCAAGGGCAAGGCCAAAGCCCCTTTGAGCCTTTAGCCATTGAGCTTTGAGGGAAGCAGAAGAAAAACATGTTCACATGGGGAGACTCAATCATCAACTTATTCATCCTTTTTTTAAGCAGGATTTGATTGGATTACACGTGTATGGACAGATGGTTGATCAGATTGGCTGGGGTGGTGCCACGTGATGATTCTTTCCTAGTTGAAAATTAGCTAACATGCAACACGGTACCTACCCACGTGTGCTTCCACAATTGCAAGTGGTTTCCCACTGTCACTTAGACGTCCTTTTCGTAGAGTACTTCTCCTTCTCACGCTCATCACTGGCGCGATGAATTCTTCAATGTAAGTAAACTTCAATATTTTTTATTTGAAAAATCAATCTAAATAAGCCCATTCATATAATTCATATAATAGTTCGATTCATATATTCATTTTTTAAAATTAATATTTAAAGTTTAAATTATTTAATATTTATAATTTTTTATTTTTAATTGTGATTTTTATATAAAATATATAACAGATTATTTATTAATACTAGTTAACAAAATATTTAGATTATTATTATATACATTATTAATAAAATTTTTAAATTTCACAAATTCAATTAAAATTTTATAAATATTTTTTATTTATCATATTCTTTTAAATGTATCCCATAAGATATACTATAATTTTTGACACAATTTTTTTACATTTAAATTTAAAATTTTCATTAACAATATATAAATGAGTTTTTTGTAATTTATTATTTTTAAGTTTTTTTAATAATAAGCTCATACATTTTTCTACTTTTTATATAAAGTTGCTATTAATATATTAAAATAGATAATTCAAAGTTTTTATAACAAAATTATTAAGCAATGTTTTCAAAATATGAAATTGCGCAATGCTATTTGTAAAATTTTTAATAATTATAATTATGTATGAAATTTTATTTTTTTATTACTATTATCTTTATTATTGTTATTATTGTTCTTTTTATAATTTAGTAACATATGAACTAAGCTCCTACTAGATAAAATTTCTAATTCCAGCATTATTTGCCTTTTCTTTTCTTATCTTTAGACTATGATCTCTTTTATAAAAAATAAATTAATTAATTAAATTTAAATGTTAACATGGAACAACCATATCAAAGTGGATTATGCAAGATGGTATTCTTATTGGTCATCACTAAACAAAATAAGTTTGAAGAAAAGATATAGAAAACAAACAAGAAAAGAAAACCAACATACAAGGATCAAATAGTAAAAATAAAAAAAAAATGATACACTTGGATTTACTCAAATAAATTGAAAAGAATGAAAAAAATTGAAGGCAAAGCACTTTGAGAAGCTATACAAAGCATATCGGTGCTTAATTTTTTACTAAAAGCATAATCCAAATAATAAAAAAAATAAGTTACTTAAATGAGTAATTGACCTCAGAAAGAAGAGAGAAAGCACCAATAAGACATCTTGCAAAAATCATATTACGATTTAAATTTACTTAAAACATTATTAATGAATAAAAAATTAAGATGATTTTCATTTAATCTAAAGAGAAAGTGATAAACAAATAATTTTAAATAAGTTCATTTCGAATTTATATTACATCAATTCAAGTTATCTCAAGTACAAATTGGGTTAGGGTCATAATAAAATTAGTAATTGAGTTTTATATATTTTGGTATCAAATTTGGATTATTACAATTTTTTATCAAAACTATAGTTCATATCATTTTAGGTTCAAATTCTTTTTGGGTTCATGTTGTTTAATGTTTAGATTTCTTCTTTTTTTTTTTTGGTTTTTGACCCTTTTTGTCAATTTGTATCTTGGCAAGTTTAGAAGGTTTTTAGGTTTGAATTCCATTTTGCTACCTTAGAATATTAATGAAAAATAAACTTAACCTAAAAAGCTTAGGATTATATATATCCACTCCACTAGATTGATAAGATATATATGGGATTTGGATAAAAATCCTATATTTACAACAATAATAATAATAACAATAACAATAATAATAATAATAATTTATCATTATATTATGAGTCAATATGAAGTTTGTCATTGTATTTTATTTTTGTTAAATTTATCATTTTATTTTATTTTTTTTACTTTTTTACACAGAAAGTAACAAAATGGATGAAAATTACCTTTGCATTAACAAATTATTCCATGAAATATTATAATATTGTTACTTTTTGTTAAAAAAATCAATGAAATTGAAAGCATTAATATAATATTTCATAATATATTTAATTCAATAATTTTTAAAAAATCAATTAAATTAAAAATATAATGACAGCATCAAATAAAATTAAATTGAATTGGGAAATTTCATTACTAAATTATAGTGTAGTGTCAAATTTTACCTTGATCTCTAATACTAATTATAAACGTGTTACATGGATCCACATTTTATATTAATAAAGCGGTTAACTTAATCACTAAATTATTTCATTTTGACACAATTGATTCTAAACTGCAATCCTCCTTTTTGTTTGCATTAATTTCACATATATAATTATGATGAAGTATGACATATATTTTGGTACAAAGGAGATGCATCATGAGGATAGAAAAAGAGATTATAAGTGTTGAGATTTGAATTTTAAATTTAGGTTATATGATCAAAAATATTATTTAACAAATATTTAATAATAATCACCTAAGCTCTTTTTATTTTATTACAATTAATCAAACCTTCAAATATCTATTTTAATCAATTAAGCCTAAATAAAAATCAGTTAACTATTAATATCAAATTTCATCTAATCAAGGATTCAATTGGAGTGAAAATAGATGTTTAAAAGTTTAATTGGATAAAAATAAATATTTAAAATCTTAATTGATCCAAAATAAAATTTTAATGCTTAATTGATTTTAATAAAATATTAGAATTTAAATAATTATTAAATTTTTGTTCGAGAGTTTTATTGACTATTTTATCTTAAATTTATTGAATATTATTTATTAAAAATAATTATATAAATCATCTTAGTTAATTTTTAAATTTGAAATATAACATATTTTGTCGTAACGTTAAGTTGATAACTTATCTATATTAAATTTTTAAAATAAAAAATGTTAAATTTTAATGATTTCTCTTAAAATTTGGTTACTAAGTGTTCAAAATATACCCTTTAAAATTATTATATAAAATTTTAATATATTAAAATTCATAATATTGACTATTAATCATTTACTTAATATAAAATATTGTCTTTTATAAATAATATTTTAGTTAACTTTAAAGAATGTCATGTACTTGTTAACAAAATATTTTCTTATATCTTAAATTTTTAAAGTGATTAATTAAGATTTAGAGAGTTGAGACCGGAGAGATTGAAGTTTTTAAGCATACATAAAATTAATAGTAAATACAAATATTTTAATATTTAAAATTATTAAAATTAAAATTTTAATATTTTATTAATAAATTACGTGATTATCGAAGATATGCATATAAAGATATTAATAAATAGAGTATAAGGTAAGTAAAATATATATTTTTTTAAATTATATTTATTCTCGTATCCATACCTAAAAGTTATTTCAAATCTATTTACATATTTATCCCAAATTTTAAAATCATGAATATTTAATGAGTATAAGTAATCATTGTATTTGTAATTTTTTTTTATGATTTAAAAAAATTAATTAAAATTTATTTTTTGATTTTTGATTTTTATCTTACATATTTATTTTTTTATAAATATATATTAATTTTAATATTATATTATTTAATAAAAATTTATTTATTAAATATATATAAAAATTTGAGCATAGAATGAATATTATATTTTCATCTCGTTCTTATATTTAATAAAAAATTTAAAACTACATTCCTCTTCATCTTTATCCCTACTTTCTTCTTTAAAATTTAATATTTATTTTCATATCCATTCTAATAAAAAATTAAATTACCCGTCAAATATAAATAAGATTGACAATTCTTATACGCACCGTTTTTTTGTTACTCGCGTGTCTTTATGACTTTGTTTTTTATATAATTCTAATGTCTTAAGACAAACACGTGTATGCGTTGCACAATTGATTTGGGCCTTTCATCGGCCTCTATCTCTATTCTTTTGTTTTGTTTGCTTTTAGCTTTCTATTGCTCTCATTCTCTCTAGCGTGTAACCTCCGAACAAAATAATAATAAGGGCAAACCCTTCTAACAAAGAAGCCCTCTGTCTCCCTTTCCCTTCCCTTCTCTGTCAAATGCCCAGACCCTACAAAAACAAAAAACCAACGAAATTTATCTGATAAAAAAAATCAATTAACACACAAAAATAAAACGTGAGATTGAACTTTGCTTACTTGTTCTTCTACTTATCTCTTAAACTTGTAATTTATAATCTAATTTTTATTGATCTGAGAACAAAAAAAGAAAAAAGGATCTTGTTCAATGCCCACTTTGTAGAGGGCAAGGTAAGGTAATAATCTTCCCATTACCTTCAAATTTCGTTTTTCTAAAAGATGATTTTCTTTTTTTTTGAAAAAATTTGCCCTTTGAATCAAAGGTTTCTTTTTGGCTTTTGATCGATTCCCATTTACTCTTAAGGTACTCAGAAAAGTGTTTCTTTTTAAACTTTTCGTTTTTTGAGGTTTTTTTGGTTTAAGTTTTGTTGGATAAAATTTGGGTTTTTGATTTTTGGTTTCTTTTTGTTTGTTGGGTACTTAATATTTGCTTAGTGAAAATTTTTGTTTGATGGATTTTGTTTTCTAGGGTTTTCATCCGGATCAACAAATTGGGGGAAATTTCCTATATTGGGAACTGATTAGGGTTCTGATCAGAGTATAAATGGGCTCAACCTCTCGTATTTGGATTCTTGGATTGAAGAGTTATTTGTCTCAAGCTTTAGTTTTTGAACAGATTGCTTAAGAAAAAAGGTGATTGCAAAGCTCTTGGTCATGGAAGAAGATTGCTTTCATATAGAATTGTGTAGATAGTGATCAGAAAAGCTTGAAAATTTACTTGTTTCAAAGAAAAGGGTATTTGGGTTTTTAGTATTTTTTTATGTGTTTGATCTCAATTGGGGGATGGTTTTGATATTGGGTTATTATTGGAAGGAGGAGGTGATGGTTCTTTATTGTCCCGGCAGGCAACGTAGAAGATCAGATTGTACCGGACCATTTTTGTTTTCTAGAGAGACGTTTGGTTTAACATAGTTTTGGAGCTAGAATTCTTGATCAATAGAACATTTCTTTAAGCTATCTTTCTATTTAGGTCATTGTTGAAGTAGCTTAGCGTAAGACTGTAGTAGGTTTATTAAGTGATTGCAGACTTGCAGGGCTGATTTTCACATTTTAACTGATTCGTTTAGTGATAGATAGTTGATTTGGGTTGCCTTTGAGGTTAGGGAGGTTAAGGGACTTGGTGGGTTTAGGAAAATTTTCAGCTGTTAAACTTAATAGTGACAGGAGTTCATGGAGGAAAATTGAAGCCGGAAATGTGTGCAGGGATATAGTGCATGGACAGGAGCATAGTTACTGGTTGTTCCCTTTCTGGAACATTGCTACTGGAAGATAATCCAAGTGTTTTGGCTTTTGGAAGGCATTCGTGTTTTGCGTTCTGAACTTCTGTGAAATGTCGCGTTGCTTTCCTTTCCCACCACCAGGATATGAAAAGAAGGCTAGGACCGATGACGTGGACTTACTAAAACAGGTTAACGCCATTACTTATGTTTTGTACATTTTGTGATAAATTAGCATTCATTAGGCTCATGTGAACTAATTCTGTGATATTTGCATTAGATTTGAGTTAGTGCTTTTCCGTTTTATTTTCCATTCAATATTATGGTGATGAAATCTGAATTAGGAATTTGGAGTTTATTTCACGTATCCCCAACATAACTGAAGGTTATTGCATCACTAGGTGGTTTTTGTAATCTTCTATATGAATATATATCATGTCTGTCTATTACTTTATTTTCTAATGGTAATTTTAGTTCATAGAATAATGGATTGAGGAGCGTATAACTTATAAATATACCCTGCATAAAATAGGGCCCACATCCTGTTGAATGAAAGATTAAGTTAGGTTAAATCAAGCCAGCTTCACTAATATTTCTCCCTTTTCCCCTTCATTAAAGAAAAGCTTCTATTAAATGATGTTGGACTTGATCTAGGAATCACATGTGAAAGGAGATTCATGTATTTTCCTCTAAGATTTAGTGGATTGGTTAGTTTTTTTATTTTTCCATCGTTCTTCATTCCTAATTTGTTGCTTTTTACCTTCTTTTATTACAGAGGGCAATACTTTTGTTTCCATTCTGTGATAAGTGATGGAGTTTTATGTGTACACAGGCTTGTCCTGTTGGTTTGAGTTTAAAATTATTAATTAGTCAGAAAAGATTCTTTAACTTTGGTTTTTTTTTTTTTTTAAATATCTTGAAGAATCAGTTTCTTCCTAAGTTTTGATATTTTAAATATCTGTTAGCAGTGTAGACTTATGTTTGATCTAAAATTTATGTTTTTGCATAAGACACTTGGCTACGTCAAATTAATGAGGTTGCACTAAAGGAATTAAGAATTGTAGTCTGTTCATATCAATTGATTTGAACTGGAAGAAATGGAGTTAGTTTTTTGCAGCTTTTCCAAACAGATTGAGAGTGAACTAAGAAGCTCTTTGAGGATGTAACATTGAAGAAGTTTCTTTAAATGGGTCAGAAGAAACAAGTTGCATTTCCTGTCGTTGAAAATTGATATAGAATTTAGTTCCAACTGCTTGAAACATGATTAAGCAGGTTATGCTTTTTATCTAAGATGCTTGGATGTCTGAAAGTCGATGACCATGCAGTTTTAACAGTTAACCCAAAAGCTTTCTGGTTGGGTGTTGAATGCTAGTTAAAGGTACAGATTTGTATGTAGTTTGACTAAATTTAAGAGCAAGGAGGAATCTAAGGGCTCTGAGTTTCTTTTAGGTACAATCAACAAGTCAGTCACAAAATTTTTTGTATAATTTTCCGCATGCTAGTTGGGGTCGTGTTGGCATTAACAATACTTGAAGGTAATTGTTTGATGAAGTATTAATGTCAATTGGTGTATGCATGACCCATGACTTCTTTTTTGTCCCTCTCCCTATTCTTTCAATACTCATTATGAATTTGTGATTATTGTTTTGACATGAATTTTGATGTAAAATCACGTTGATAAGGAAAATTTTATTTTCAATTGATGATTGCAGGGTTGTCAACTATTTTTTGAGTAACTATAGTTTTTGATTTAATGGTAAAATGCTAGTACTTTAATGGTAAAATGTTGAAGGAATTAGATTTTAGTCTCTTACCAAGGATTGTCAACGTCCATTTTGGTAAGTTTGTCAACATATAAATGAAAGAATTAAAATGTCATAAATTACTTTAAATATCATAAATAAATGTTATTATGATTGCAATAATTATTTAGTTCGTTTTATGAAAAGTGTAAAATAGAAAAAAATTCACGACCGCGATAAGCGCAGCTACTGTTATTTTATCCGTTACATCCACAATTGCAATAAACGTTATGCGACCAAAAACGTGCCCGCGATTGCAATTAAAATCCCTTTTATTTCTTCACCATGAAGCAATTTTTTATAGTGTTTTCTCCATCAAGGAGTAATGGGTGTTGATTTAGGAAGCACTTTTGTATCTTCCAGTTTTTTTCTTGATTTCCTTATTCCCTACTCAGTGCTGGCAGCTAATCTTGGAGAGCTTTTTTTTTTATAGAGTTTTCTCCATCAAGGAGTGTTATCTTGTTGACTTTTTGTGTGTCTTTTTGTTCCAAATAATTTATGTTTTGACTTATAGTATCAATCTTCTGGTGACATTTCAGCACCTAAGTTTTAGATATTCATATTAGTTTGGGACTCAAGAGTGATAAATTTGAATTTGTTCACTTAAAAGCATGTGCTGAACTAAATTCCAATAACACAAGTATTAGTTACCAATAACACAAGTATTAGTTGTAAGTATTAAGGTGTTGGTTTGTTGCGGTCACTTGTAATTAGTTGGCTAGTCGATGTGTTGATTTGGAAGGATCACGATAACTTGTGGAGGGTTTATGTGGGATGAGAGCATCATGAATAGATTTCTCTTTATGGAAATCCGTTGTTATCATGTCATTAAGTTGATTACCGTAAGAGAAAAGCTCTTGTATTGTTTGTTATAGAGATAGCATGTGGTTGATGTTAAGAGATTTGCTGAAGGAATGGCCCAAACATCCATTGCCATGATGGAGGACATTTTTGGTAGGGTATGGTTTTTTTGAGATTTACCAAAGATAGAATATGAGTTTGCATCATGATTGTTGATGCTGGGATCAGTGCCGTGTCATTTTTGTTGACCATGAAGTACTTTCCATCATGGCATAAACAGAATATATGGTTTCAACTAGATCATAATTTTAAACCAACTATGAATGTCACCTTGGCCAAGATTTCCTTCTAATTGTGTTTGCTCTAATTGACTGTGTCACAACTTAAAGTTCTTTAAGTCAAGTTGCAAGCACTTTTGGTAGGAAGAGAAGGAACATTGTCTTTTCTGACGTCAGAGAATGTGGCTGCAATGCATGCTACTAGTCTCTTTTTAACAAATCCTTTATTCAAATATATTCTAGAAAGTCCCACTTTGTTTTTCCTGAGTGTGATTTTAGAGGAAACTGAGTGGTAAACTGATGCGATAGCCATTCTGGTCAGCACATGAAAGATTCCCTTCGTCATGTCTCCGCAAAAAGGTACCAATTTCTCTAAGTAAAGCAAAAAGAGGAAGCCGGAAAGACCTGATTTGCTGCATTGAGAATGAAACTTTTGGAAAATGATTATTTAAGTAACGTTCGTTGCGATATATAAAAGTTCATGGGTTACTTCTAAAACCTATGGCATGAGTGTTTTTATTCATAATATTTGGGAGGACAAGAGTAGTTTCACCTTTGGTATTAAATACACTGATGAAAGCTATCTAGATTTGCAAGTTAATTTGCAATAAGGAAAATAAAGTTATTTGGTTCTGGAATTCATATTTTTCTTCCCCGTTTTAAAACACAACTAGTTAAGTTTGTTTTGAGCCAATTCATAATTTTCTTTCTCTTATTGGTCTAGCTTGGTTATTGCGAGCTGGTGTTGAGAAAATGAAGTAGGTAGACTATGTTTCCTTATCCTACGGAAAATGCTGAATGCATTAACAAGCGCCTTTTTAAGAACTCAATGAAATTCTATTCCTCTAAGCCTTATTTATTCAAGTACAATACGATATGTATATCAGCTTTATTAATGATGAATGCACCTACTTGAAATTTGAATGGTACAATGCTCTTGACTAGGTATATTTTGCCCAAAAAATTTCTTGTTTAATGGATGAGATTTCATGTGAATAGATTTTTTCCAGTACTTTACTACCTTGTTCTCATTTTTCTTGAAAGTGTCCATGGCTGTTAATGCAAATCTCTCTGCGTCTTATTGTTCTCAACCACTTTGTTAGTAGGATGTTTTTCTGTGTCATTGGTTGGGTAGTGGACCTGCTGGTGGTCAGCTTTTCTCCTTTCTATCATCTGTCTGCTGATTATGCCATGAAGGCTGTAGCATTAAGTGCATTCCTATTCCTTAATAGCCTTGTCCTACTGCTTGTATACCTAATAAAGGGCTGAGAAGTCACTTATCACCTATGCAGCCAAAATGTAAAAGAGATTTTGAGTACATTTTGGTGTAAAGGCAGTACTTTATGGATTTGAGTATCATTTTCTATATACTCTCTTTAACTAGTAGTAGTTGCCGTGGTTTTTCTGGTTCTTTTTACGTGGTTAAGGTTTTTGGCAAACATAATTGGTGAGTTTGCTCATTAATTTGGCATGTATCAAGTTATTAGAAAGTTATCTTGTCTTAGACTTAAAGCTCGTATTTTATGATTCTTATAGCATAAAAAGTTCTATGGTAGAGGTGTGTGGAAACTAAGATTCTATTTTAGTTATCCAGACATTGTGCTTTCATTTGCTGACTGGTTATATTGATGAATGATGCTAGTTCAGCCTCGTATGCCATTTACTAGTTTCCGTCCTTTTCTGTTTTCTGTTTTGTGTTTGTGGTTTATTGTTATTGTTTATTTATTTTTTCTTTTTTTTTAAAAATAACTTTTGGCTCTTCCCATTGGTCAAGCTATAAATGTTTATCAGATTCCCTTTAATTCCCGCTATTATAACTTTTCAAGACAGAAAACAAGGGAATTATCGGAGAATTATCTTCTGTGATAACCTTAAAGTAATCGTTTGGAAAATTTCTTGATGGATGATCGGTGTGTAATTTGTTGACAAAAGTATTTATCCGGTATGCTTGTCATCTGTATTAATTGTAACTTGGTGCAGAATGATCTTTTAATATAACTTTCTACTTTAGAGGGTTACTGAAGATTTTATTTGATTGTTTCCTAATTAACATAATGTTCTTTTGCATTTGATTTGTGAATCTATGTTTTATAACGTCGTTCTTTATTTTCAGGAGAAGCAAAAAGAGAGGAAGCATAAGAAGGAGAAGAAGAAGGACAACGAGAAGAGAGAAAATAAAGAAAAAAAGGAGAAAGATAGAAGTGATGGAAAGCATAAGGATAGGAAAGACAAAAAGGAAAAACACAAAGACAAAAAGAAGGAAAAGGATAAAGATAAAGAAAAAGATCGAAGTAATAACACAGAGGAGAAGAAATTTCCTGGTCATCCCGAGAGTCAAAATGGGAAGAAAACCTCAGATGAGAAGAAACTTCCAGGAAAATCTGAAGGTCACAGTGGGGAGAAGTTTATTCAGAAAGAGAAGGGTAGGGATAAAGATCGAAGCAGTTTCTCAGGTGATAAGAAACTTGCTGGGCAATTTTCAGGTTGTAATGGGGAGAAGATTAGCCAGAATAGCCGTCTGGCTGAAGATTTCAGGGATTCTAAATTTGTGCAGGAGTTGGGGAGGAGGGTCAGAGATGAAGGTGCAGGAGCTGCAAACGAATTGGTGGATAAGTTTATGGGTACCAATGGGAAAAGAGATGAGGGAATGGTCAGACCGGTGGCTAAGACTGCCAACACATTGGCTGAAGAGAAGGAAAAGGACAAGAAAACTGATGATAGGAAGTTCAATGTGCAAGGAATCAAGGAGGAGACAAGATCTGGTGGAAATGCTGTGGTTCAGAACCTTGCTGGAGCAGTTAAAGCTAGAGTTGAAGGGATCCCCAGACAAGTGGAGAGTAATACTAAGAGGCAGGGTGAAGGGAAAGAAAAAACCAAAGAAAAAGAAAGTGATGTTAAAAATAAGGATAAGCGCAAGGATAAAGACAGGGAGAAAAAACGTCATGGGAAAGATAAGGATAGGGAGAAGGAGAAGGAGAAGGAGGAGAAGGCGAAAGGTGAACATAGGAATTTGGAGCAGGATAACTTAAAAGGAAGCAACAAAGTTGACCCTGAGGATATCATTAATCTGAAAACATCACATCCTTCCAAGGAGGGCAACAAGGGTGCTGTTGCTGAGGAAAATTGCCACAAGCGGAAGGACTTGGGGAAAAATGGATATCTTCATGGTGAGTTTTATATCGTTATTGTGTGTATCAATCTGGCTGATCACTTAAAACTTTTTTGTTAGTTTTGGTGGGTGATCACTTCAAAGCCTGCAGTAAACCTGTCCATAAAATTGTGCAATTGCTTTTGTGGCAATTATTTGTCCATTTTTCTTAGCAGGTATTAAAAGTTCTAGAGCTCTATAACCATCTTGGTAACAAGTTCTGCTTTCTTTTTTATTTTTCTTACAGTTAATGATATTAAACCCAGTAAGTTGCCAAGAACTTCTACCTCTCATCCATCGACGGACAATGGAAGGACATTGGAATCTTGTAAAGCTACCATCCCATTTACTTCAGATAGCCAGGGGGCAGGAACCACTCTTAAAGTGGATAATAAAGAACGCAAGGTGAATGGTATCATTGAAACTCAGCTGTTATCTGTCTCCCCAACAAAGCATTTATCAGCAAGTGCACAAGCTAGTCAAATAGATGAAGTGTCTTTGAAACCACCCCATCCGGATTCCAAGTATTTGAGCCAAGTACTTTCAGTGCCCAAAATGGAAAAATGGTCTGATTTTGATGACCAATCATGGCTATTTCACAGTAATGAATCTCAATCAAAGAAGCCCAAGGTGGGTTTTTCTAAGATTGACGAGGCACCACAAGTGTGGGCAGAGGCTCTGCAGATAGAGTCAGCTGATGTTTGTGCTCTCCCATATGTTATTCCATACTGATTGTCTCTATTAGTGGGCACATGATTAACCTCCTACACTGCAGCAGGATTTGGCCCTTTGGGCGGATTGTTTGATTTCTGTTCAGCATTCTTTTGTTGTCGAACTCCCGTGTTGCAGTGAATGTTTTTGCATGACTGATTGCCAAACTTTGTTGATCTTTCGCATCAACAATCACATTCTCTATCATGTCATTCTACTGCTGGAAGTAGAGGGTGGGTATTTTTGCCTCCAGGTACCAAACTACTAATTCATTCAAAACACACAATGCCAGAAAAGGCAACCGAAAGACATCGGTGCCTTAAGGGAGATGTATAAGCTTGTGCAATTCTTATTTTAATTGATTAAAGCTGTGAAGCTCTTTCTAATTGAGAATGTAAGAGAAACTAGCTGTGGTCTTTGCTACTCCACTGCAATTTTGATTTGTAACATAGAACTCTTATTTACAAGAAATGTAAGATAGAGGGAAAAAGAAAGTAGTAGCATTCATTTAATCACCTCTCCTGTAACTGTTGCTTATTGTCTTCCTGTTTGCCCATGAGTTTTGAGTCTCATCTTCCATTGTCCTTTGTTCCCGTGTTTCTCCATTAAAGGCTTGTCCTGGTCTAGCAGTTAGCCACACCCATCCTACTGCCTGAAATCTCATGCTAGTTCTCAAAACTGTCTGATATGCAATCCTGATCCTGCTGTTGCCAGAATTCTTGTAACATGAAAAAACTATATAAAAAATATTAAAATTAAAAAAAAATCATATATAAGCAGAATTGGAATATAATTTTTTTGCTTCTTCGGATTTTAATGATTTGTTTTGAGTTTTTTAGAAAGGTAATCTGGGCTGGATTTTTCCTATTTCAAAACTTATACCAAACAAGTTTAATATGTAGGTTCAAATGTTTTTCCAAGTTATTTTGTTAATATATTGTTTTATTGTAAGGTAATGTAAAAAATTAAACATTAAAAACGTGTCAACAACCATATTTAATAAAAAAATATAAATAATATTTTAACTAATCTTAATAATAAATAGTATTTTATTTGAAGCCAATTAAGTTGAGTGAGCTGGCAAGATAAAGCTTAGGGAATTGAGGTTGTCCTTGTCCCTGGCCATGTTTCATTTATTGTAATATATGTTATTGTAATTACTTTAAGGCAATATGTATATAACATGTATCATTTAATTCAATAATTCTCTCTTTCTAGCTCTCTCAATTTCCAACTGAATAAAACATTTAATTTCGTATTTATGATTTAATATTGGTTATTTTAAAAAATCTTAAATTTAATTTAGTTGATTTATAAAATCATTTTTCAATATATTTTTTTTGTTTTATCATTAGACTATAATCTTTGAATAAAAAAAAGATCATGAAATATTTAAGTTTAAGAATCATTTTGAATCAATGTTCAATTATTTTGAAATTCAAAAATTAAATTTTATAACTTAATTTTCTTAGAACTGCTTTTTGGTTTTACAATTGGCAAACTGAGATAATTAAGATTGAGTCTCAATTGTTCTACATAGCTACCAACATGAGTCTCAGCCCTAACATTAAAAAAAAAAAACAAAATCCAAATGAAATAACAATTAGCATAAAAGATAAAATATGTTGAAGGATCCTTAAATATATTAAAATTGATAATTAAAAAATATATTTTTTAAAGTTTTATACTGAATAAGTTGATCACTCTGTAAAGATGGGATCAACTTACATAATATATATCATATAAAGGACCGGGTGGGTCTTGAAAATCCGAGTTTGCTTTATTATTCTTTGATAGTAATTTTTGAGCTTTTCTACGGAGGTTTCTCAGTTTAAATGTGGAGGAATTTCACAAGGGTTGAGCTGGGCTCATATCCTTGGAGATGGATCTTCTGCCCCTGATTTCATCAACAGTTGGGGCTAATACATGGCTAGGCTCAAGCTCAATGGAACTCACTCTCCCAAAAGCACTTACTAAGATTGAAAAGCCTTATGACCTAATCCAACTTGCCAAGGAACCACTTTGTGCAACGGAGGTCAACCCTGTTGGAGATCTTTTGCTAACTGCCAATGACCGTAAATTGGAAACCTTTTCCTTCCACTTGAGCACAAAACATTTGTCAAGCTTGCAAGCAAAGATATCAGGTGAAGATGGAAGCAAAAGAATTTCATCTTTCGGTTTGCGCTGTTATTTGGCAATGTATAGCCAAAGTTAGAGAAGGGTTTGAACCACAAATTGTGACAGTTTGTAGAAAAGATCCCCACCATGACAATAATGTTCCTAGCAACGGTCAAATTATAAGTGCAATCAAGGCAGATTTCTCTGTCATGGAAGCAGATTTGAAGAAGTTAGCATTGTTGCTAGCTGAAGATAAGGTCCTAGATGAAAGAAACAATATTGAAGCAGCTGTGGAGAAAGATAATGGAGTGACAGATTACATTATGTATGGAATAAATTTAACATTTGTGAACCTGGAAGATGCCAATTTATATCAACTGGAGTTAAAAGGACAAAAACCAAAATTTGCATATTATTCAATCCAAGGTGTGGGTAATGAAGGAGCAGTTCTATTCCTTCTAGGGCCCCCAAAAGATTGTAGCATTCAGAATAATGGCAAAGAAAGATTGGTCACCATAACTTTGCCAGAGGATCAAGTATTCAAGCTAAAGACTGAGTTAAAAGGAAGTGGTTTACTTCTTCCAAGCGAACTTGAATTAGTGCTCGAAGTTCCAAATTTTCTGCAGTTGTTAGTATTTTGGCATGTGTGTGATTGTGTGTGCGCGTGCAATTGCAATTTGTTTAATTACCCTGGCTTGTAATTGTTATTATTACAGTTTTACAAGGAAATAATCGGCTGCAAATGCTACTCCAATATTGCAGCCTTGGTGGATAACGAGCAGGATTAGGTGGTTATTAAACAGTCATTGGAATCATGTACGTAATCAAGATAACATGAGAGTGTAACATAGAAAAATATATTCCTACTCTTGATGAGCAGTTACACAATTTATGATTGATTGAGACATTATTTTAAACTGGGTCAACGTTTCCAACGGCTCTTGAACTATAGTAAAAGGAAGTAAACTTGTCCTGATGAGGAGACATACAAACATTTACTCTTGGTGTTTCCTTCTCTTCGCTAACAAGTCCATCAGCTTATAGCTTCCAACTTATTTCAGCAGCTCTTGCTGCGGCTACCTCTGTTACAGACTTATGCTTGCGGCTCTGTTAGCTGCCTGTCGAGCAGTCAAGGTTTGTTGCATAAGCAAAGCCAGTTAGAATTGCATCTGTTGCATGGCAACAGCTTGCTGTATCATCGTAGCCAGAGTTGATGAAGTCAATGATGAAATAGCTGGTTTCGGAGAAAGCGTTTTAGCCATCTTCAATTTAATGGTTGACCATCAAAGTCCATATTGTTCAATGCCAAAGCAGCCATTGCTTCCGCAGGTTTTGAATTTTCGATGTAAGCAAATGCTTTGAATCAGTGATTGTACACTCGACACCTGTACCACAGAAGCTAAAAAGCTGCTTCAACTGCTATGCTGAGAGATGTGGGATGAGATTGTTAACTTGTAGGGTTTTTTCTATGCATTAGCCTTCCCAGATTTGTCAGTAGAATCTGACAAGAAGCAGACAACTGTTAGCTTGGGCCCTTGACTCAAGGGAAATAACAAAAAAATAATTATGACAGAAAATAAATTAAAGAAAAAAGGACAGTGAAAAAAAGATAGTGTAAAAAGTACCAGATAAGTCTTTGGTTGATTGAGCTTGTGCTCGCACCTGAGCAGCAACAATAGCCTGAGCTGCAGAAGGTGCCATAAGAGCCTGAGTTGAGAGTCCCATGCTGGTTGTTGCAGCCAAAGCAGTCATCAGCAAATTCTGAGGAGGATGGTTCGATTTGCAATCAGTTTTATCACAATGGCCATTAAGGTATTCTCCACAAACTTCCCCAAGAGATGCCTCCATTCCTGGCAAAATAGCAGCACCTGAAGCACCGGAAACAATGCCTGGGATCATTCCAAATAAGCCAGGGAAAGCTACAGAATCGGATCCTGGTAGGGAAACGCATTCAATTGGTTGAATATGAAGGCATCCACTTGGTCTGCTTTTAGTATTCCTGTCTATCTTTATCACACGTCCAAAAACAGGTCCCAACCGAGTAAGGGCCAACTGGTTTAATTAGGAACCAGTCAAACTTGATCCTCCCAAAATTGCCGATAGATGCCAGCGACACATCTCCCTTTCTTCTCACTCTTCCTTCCTTTCCAATCTTTCCATCATTTTCCATCATTTTCCCCATTTTATTTTTTTATTTCATAAAGAAGATTTTAATTTTTTATTTATAAAAAATAGATACCAATGTGACAAAAACGACGTAGTACAGTTCAATTAAAAAAAAAAAAGATTATATAGAATATTGCAAGAAAATTTTTTAATTTTGACCAAAATTTGAATTCTATTAATTAGTGTGAGAAACGAACATCACGTCTCAAATTTGTTAACATTGTTAATAAAAACTTTGCAATTACATAAGTCTTTTTCTCTCCAAAAAATAATTTTTTTTTCTCTTTTTATCTCCTCAAAACACAATTTTTATAACAAATAACAGATTTTAGTATTGAAATCTCTTCGAAAATTTTTCGGAGACTTACATAACCAAAGTAATCAAATTTGTGGGTTAGCCGAGTTGTGGGTTTGTGATTGATACATGATTTGAAGGCAAAAAGCAGGGAAATCAAAGGTAAATTCATCTATTACATCTGGTAAGTTTTGAACTCATATTTTGTTTGGGCTTAAGAAGTGTTAAATTTAGAGGCAGATTAGGCTTAAGTGTCCAACACTCTTACGTGATAGAAGCCCGGCTTGTCCGACAGCGGTCCAGCCCATCGCCAATCTCTAGTCGGCAACTTGGAGCAGGCGAAGGCCCTAACTTTAAGACATTGGCGCTGGTTCCTAGCAGGTTTTTTTCAGTCCCGAAGAAGCGGCGGTCCTCGAGCTCGAACGAAGAGAGAAAAAAAAGAAAGAACAAAGCAGAGAACAATTTCGCTAAAACCCTTGTAAAACCCTGGAAAATTTGTCTGAAAAAGCCTCATCTATCTGAACTAGACAAAGAATCGAATACCCTTTTTCTCTTTCCCTACAATGGCAACACCGTCGCATGCTCAAGCTGTCAAGTCTCTCAATAAATCTCCTGGCCGTAGGCGCTTTGTTGTATGCTCTTTCTCCTTTTGTCTTTCTTTGTTTCTTTGTTTTTTCATTTTAATTTCGAACTCTTACTTTGTTTCTTTTGTTAATTGCAGTTCAAGACTTTCTCTCAGAGAATAGAGGATATTGATATTAATGTATTTCGAAGCCTTGATAAAATAAAGTTGGAGCCATCAGAAGGTTCATCTTTCCTTCGGGATTGTCTTATCGAGTGGAGGGTATGCCTCAAATTTCATATATATATATTTTGTTTCTTTCTTTAGCCATGTTAGAACCCAATTTTATTTATTTTTAGAATTGAATGTTATTAGATAGTTTATTATTTTATTATTATTTTAGAGCAAATTAATGGATTTTAATTCAGCTCTCGTGGGAGGCGTAGCTAATACAAAGGGCGTGTCTGTTCATGGTCCATTACAGTGTTATTTTAGGTGGCCTTTAATTTTTCTTTCCTTTCATTGCTGTTAATTGTGTGTGTGTGTTTTTTTTTTTTTTTTTAATTGTTAATGCAGGAATTGAATACTGCAGAGGATTTTATTTCATTTTATGGGGAGACGATGCCTTTTGTACAGACCTTACCCTTGGTTCTCTTGCACAAGGAATTGATATTTACTAAACTTATATCCAGATTACAAATGAAAGCAAGATTATCTCTTGAGCCTATACTCAGGTGTGCAAATTTATGTCTGATGAGGTTTTATCTGGTGTTTTGAGATAAGCTTAGTTTTGTTTTCTTCATTTGTCCTCCAAACATAGTGGCAAACAAATCAGTTGTTTATTGAGAGAGACAAATATAGCCATGAAAGCTGTTTTGAAGATTCATTAAATTGACTTTCTAAATTTTGTTAAGCTCAACAATACTAAACAGCATATTGATCTAGAGTGAAAAAAGGATTGTCTGAGTGGCAAATTTACCAATAACATGTTATATCCTGTATAAAACCAATAGATGGAATCAGCCAGAAGTGATGCGACATTTATTGCATCTGCTTGATAATTTAATCATTACTTGGGTTTGATGTTGCCTTGAAAAAGCTTTCACTTATTTTTAGTTGAGTTTGTCCCTTGTTGTATCTCCTTGACAACTTCATACTTGGTTACCCTTTTTGGTTCCTAAAAGGTATCCTTAATAATTTCACTTGGGAAATTATCTTGTTGCTATGATGTTAGATCATACTCTGTTATAATATTGGTATCTATCTTGTTGTTTATGGTTAAAGGAAAAGCTTAATTTCATTTGGGAAATTATCTTGTTGCTATAATGTTAGAGCATACTCTGTTATAATATTGGTGTCCATCTTGTCATTTATGGTTAAATGGAAAAGCTCGTATGATTTTGTGTTGTTGATGCTGGTTCAAGTTATGCTTCCTTGTGCTCCATCCAGTGCCCCCATTCTGTTTGCTCTAGTTTAAGATAACAGAAATTTCTAACTTTTGTGCAGATTGTTGGCAGCCTTCTCTAGAGATCTTCTGGAAGATTTTCTTCCGTAAGTCTCTTCTTCCTTTGATCAATTCATCTTTATCCTCCCTTTCTGGTGAATAACAAAGTAGTGCTACATGGTATTGGTAATTGAATTGCATACAATTCTATGTAAATTTGAACTTGCAGTAGATAGGTTGCCTGATGCTTATAAGTTGCTTATATAGGTAATTTTATGGCCATGCTAGGAGTAATGCATGGAGTACATAACATCTATATGGGTAGGCATGATACAGTTTTGATACATTTCATTGGGGTATTTTGTTTTATGTATGGATGGTTCTGGGTTAGTACATAGTTTAGTAAATTGAGTGGAACAATAAATACAGAAAGAGCAAGACAGCTTGGAACAATATTTGTTATTGGCAACATCTGACCCATATTGGAGAGAGGACTTTTATTCTCCCGAAGGAGCTTCATCCTGGAGTGGAAGGGGAGCCACTGTATTGACTGCTGGTATTCACAGCATCATGCAATAGTGGTGAACATAAGGGGAGATGAAAACTCATGCAACTCAAGAACTGTCTATAACTGCAAGTTAATTTTTTTTTATGATAAATAGATAGTGGCATGCAGTGCTATGGTTAGTCTTGGATCCATTGTTACATTTAAGAAATTCATTGGTTTTCACTTGTTTATTTTTGACCTTTATGTCACTTCAGGTTTCTTCTGTTAAGAGTAGGGAGTTTGGTATTTAATTTTGTAGAAGGAGAAAATGCTGATATTATAAGGATTTTCATCTTTTTGCTGAAACAGTTTTTTTATTTTTATCTTTAACATGAGGGTATTACTGTCTTTCTATTAAAATATTTTAAGATTTTAAATCTTCTTATTAACTGAAGAACCTCGAGAGATGTCAGCGCCAAAAACAATGCCACTGGCTGTTTTTCATGATTTGAAGGGACTACGAGGAATAGAAGTGTAAGAGTAGTTTATTATTGTTATTCTTGTTTGCCACTTTGACTCCTAGAAAGGTTAGCAATAGGAGCATTATATGTGATGCTAACCTGTGATTGTCGAGGCTAGCTGTGTTTTTTCTGTTTCCACAGTTTGGGATCCTTTTGTTTTCCTCGTGGGTGTCACCTTTGTTTTGATGGTATTTAGCTCAGCAATTGTTATTCTTTTCTTTTTTCTTTTTCCATTTAATTATTAGCATTATTGCTTATTATAGATTTCTTTATTTTTCTTTTATCATTTTAAATTTATACTCATGTGCATAAATTTTTCGGTCAGTTTCCTGCCTAGGATTGCTGATTCCTTAGTCTCTCTCCTCAAAAGTGGTGCAGATAGGGAGCCAGATATCATTGAGCAGGTTTGGGCTATATGCTCTTTTTTCTCTTCTGAGTAGTTCTTCATGTGTAGTATTGTTTATCTTGTTTGATGTTGGCCTTAATCTTGGTAATTATTAATATGGCTCTTAACTCTGCCACCTTTTCATGCAGATTTTTACTTCATGGTCATACATCATGATGTATTTGCAGAAGTATCTCATACGGGACATTGTACATGTTCTCAAGTGAGTGTTGTCTTGAGTCTTGCTTTTGCAAAGCATGTACAAGAAGTAGGTAGCTTATGTAGTTGGATGGTTTTGTTGCATTTCAAGTTTCTTTGGAAGTTAAAACTTTTTTCCTTTTAATTTTTCTGGGTGAAGAGAGAAGAATGTTGTATTAAGGAATTTTCTGCTGTTCAAAAGTTCTCTTAAAAATATGGTTTCCTCGTTAATGGGCAAAAGAAACTAACTCTGGTTAATGGTGGGGTATAAAGATTGTTGAAGACAATTTTTAGGGCTTCATCACAATATGGAGGGAAGTGTCAATTCTATAAAGATATTTATGTTTTCACTATGATGTTTCCAGTTTTGGTGAACGCTATTTTTGAGTTTCCTCTATATTCTTAAGGCTTATATTTGTTTTTGATGTTATATTCTTTTGACAACTACCTATTAGTTGAACAAAGTTTTTGATGAGCTTGACAAATGAATAAGGTGGGAGATATTTTTATTGGACCTAAGTGGTCAATTGTAAAATAATGAAAAATTTGACAAAATCTATGTGGCTTATGTTCTTTGTTCCTTGTTCGGAAGGGTTACAGTAAGATTGAGATATTACCCAAAGGATTATGTCCAAGAGTTTATGGCAGAGGCTACATCATTCTTGCTGCGGAATGCGCCTGTTGGGCAACTTATAAAAGGTATCAGCTTCAAATTAGTTATTCTTATGATTCCTCGAATCTGTCTTTTTTTTCTCCTTTTTTTGTTCTTTTGGTAGGATTGTAGATACATTCTGCATTTTCTTTCGGACTGCATGCCCTTGAATACCTAAGGTGAACTAATTTATGGTTCTAATTTAGAGCCATTGATGTTTAAAGTTGTTGGGGAATATTTCACTGCAAGTTTTAGAGTATTTTGGAACTCTTCCAAATTTTTTCATGTGAAAAAAATGTTAAAGCTGACACCAAAATTCCTTTCCGATGTCTGAGATGTTGGTTATTGCGTTTTGTGTTTGGATTTTCCAGGTATTTAATTACATAGATTTTTTTATTTTGTAACCTACAATTATTGAGTATGGTAGACATATTCTCTTGATGTAATTTTCTTGCTTGATACTTTGTGATTTCCCCTTCCCACTTAATTTGTTTATCTTGCAGTTTTCATTTATATTGTACAAAATGAAAGTAATGAATCCCTTTGAATCAAAAGAAATGTTGCTAGTTACAGACATTCGTTGTTTTATGATGTGTTGCTTTTGCGTTGAATGATAATTTCATTTCTATTTAATTTTCTGAAATTTGATTTGAAACAGGTATTAGGAAGACCATGTTTGAAGTTGTGAAGAAACCATTACCTATACGGAAGTCTGGAGTTAGTGCTCTGTTATGCTATATTATGCTAGGAACCTCATCAAGGTTCCATTCAGGAGCAGAGAGAGTTTTGCGATTGTTGGTGGACAATTCAATATTTGCTATTGCTGATAAGTTTCCTGAAGGTATGTGATGCAGGACAGCTTAAGGGGCTAGGGTTTATGATAACAGTAATTTGAAATTCTTAAGAAAATAGGTAAAATTGAATAAATAAAAGAAAACAGAAAAGATAACCTAATCTTCACACATAGGGTTCCTTGATTGCATCACACAACCAAGAATAAAGAAAACCTAAGCATCACACCTAGGGTTCGTTCGGAGTCACATCTATGGATGATTGCATCACACAATCTCAATAGCAATAATGCTAATAAAATCTTAAGTAAGCTAATCCCTCAACTAGTTTATTAGTTTTCTGCATCAGTATGTTATTTCTTAGTGATAATGCTTTTCCATAGACCATTGATGCATGTTTTACCTAGATAGTTTAGGCCACTCAATACTTTGTAGAGAGAAGAATGCTTGAGATTTGAGGTTTCTCACTATGTATAAATGATCTATTTTGTATAATCTTCTATTTCTTTTGCTTTAATTCTGTGTGTATTCTGCTTTTTTTCTTTTTTGATGATTTTTTGCATCCTGGAAACATCAGCTCAACATACATGCAAGAAGATATTTGTCTGTGGATGAGTTTCTAATCTTTTGTTGCTCTCATGGAGTTGGGATTTAATTCATCTGTTAAAAACTTGAAGACTGAGCTGCTCCATACAGCTTAAACTTACATTAACAGGTTTCCAATCACCCCCAACCACCTACCTTTTTTTGGGGGGGTTGGGGTAGGAACTAAAATAAGTAGAACAACATGAAGAAGATGATCGTTAGGCTTCTGTTTTTATTAGGTATTTCATCTGTAGGTTGGGTTGAGTTGTTTCCTTGTATTCCCCTATCAATAGAGTCATTATAATTATGGTTTTGCTTAGTGAAAGTAGGTCATGGTAGTAAAGACATCTGTACATGAGGTGGCTGCTCTGCCTTAGTGCTTCTTTCTTGAAGACATTGTCCAACGCACCCGATGTTGTCCACCAGCTATGTCATCCTTTGTGCCTTTGTGCAGGGAAAGTAATGACAATATATGAGCTTCAAACAATGGTGATCTGTTCACTTTGTTAGCTCATGCATTTATCCTAGCAACATATTTATTGTTGAATAAATCTGGTATATTTTGATCGTTCTTTCTGGGATACTGAAAATATTTGAGGTGATTAGCATTTATAGTCAAGTTTCTTTGAGCGCTTGCTGACTTTGTCATTTATCTACTGGTAGATCTTTTCTAGGTTACAGATTTAGCTGATTTCCTGATATCTTGTTATGGCTCTGGTTGGTCATTCTTAAGTCCACAATATATTTTGGCTCCAACTTAGTAGTAGCATTGTTTATCTTGTGTTAGAGGCTGTTGCCTTGTGTTTGGTCTTCCTCTTTGTCCAGTTTTATTTGGTGCTGAGGGTGTGCACATCCTCTTGCAGGTTCTGATGCTATTCTTGAAGTTGTGATTGCTGCCTTTCAAAAATTATCTGAGGAGCTAGAACCCAAAGAGTTAACTCTGATGTGGGAGTGTTTGTATCAGGAAATAAGCGACTCTCAAGCTAACGGATCTTTCTTGCATCTAAGTCGCCTTTTATCGCTGCTAATATCTTCTGTTCAGGTTAATAGTGGGCGTTGTATTTCTGGTGAGTTGGTAATGGTGTTGATATACTGGTTTCTTTCTTTTTCTGTTCAATATTACGTCTGTCATTCTTTTACCTTAAATGCTGCTGATTATAATTATTATACTGTTGTGCAGATTATCAACAAATGCTTGAAGTTGTAGAGTCCTTGGTGCTGAAAGTTGTAATGCCTTCTAGCAAAGGAAATGGTAGTTTGTCTGAAGTTGTTGATAAGGTTCTGCAACTAATGCTACACATTCTTGATGGACTCCACGGTTCTAATAATTTGTCTGCCATCTCTGGCTGTTTGTTACTGTGGGCTCCTGTATTTGAATTAAGAAACTCAAGGTATTGTCTTTTTTAGAATCGGTCTGATCTGCCCTTTTGTTTAGTTCTCCTCCTTTTTCTTTCTTGACATGCTGTTGCTTGCATTTCAGTTTGTTGATATTTCTTAAAGAACTACTGCTGAAGGACCCTTATGTAATATATATTTTCAGAGAATATATTTTAAGGTAATATTGACATCTAAGTTGCATCTTGGATCTTCCTTTATTCTTTCTGCTTTAGCTGCAGTTTTCTGAAATTTGTGATTGGTTTCAGTGCTATGAATGATTTGGTAGAATCTTCACAAGAAGAAGTTTTGTGCCTGTTACTGTCCTTCTTCAATAGACTGCAAATGCATCCTCAAAGCATTAAATTCTTAGATGAATTGTCTGAAGGGAGACTTTCAAAGATATGTGATTATATGCACAGGGTTATTAGTAACTGGATCAAGCTTATAAATGATATTGCACGTGGGAATCCATTACCTGCTCCAATTGATGAGGTCATGTTGGCTATCTTGTGGGGAATTATAAGCTGCTATCCACATATGTTCAATGCCCAAGCAAATGAATCTTTGCTGGTAGAGTTGATAGATGCACTTCATCGGCTTCTGATGATTGAAGCTGGTAAGTAATCTTGCCTTTCATCTTTGTTTTCCACTATGTACTCTGAAACACTGTTGTCTTTTGTTGCCTGGAATTCGTCTCTGAGTTGTTAAGAACAGCTATCTCTGTATTTTTAGCATTCTTGAGTCTCTTGTGTTTCCTTATGCTGCTTCTCTTTGCTTTCTCCTATTCTTTCAGAAAGTATTGCAGGTGTTTCCAAAGACATTTGGGAGAGCCTTGTTGGTGCTGCTTTAGGTTCCCATAACAAATGGCATTATGCAAAAAAGACTGGGTTTGAAGAAATGAACAAAGTATTACACCTTGCCAAGGCCTGCAAATCATCCTCTCAAGTACTATTTGCTGTCGCTGATTACTTGGATAATGTGAATGGGTATGTTGACATTTATATAGATACTTTATCCGAAATAACCCAGGGTTGGCCTATTGGTTCTTGCCTCCAATGGAGGGTCAAGGTCCACTGGCCAGTTCCTCCTTCCCAACTGGCCTTGTCCAAATTTACCAAATACAGACACAAACACATACGCACATGTGCATTCTGGTCTTTTTTGTTTTATTCACAAAGCACACAGACACACATGCTCTTTCTGATCATGTCAATATATTGTGCTTGCTGATCACTGGTTATGTCTGAAAATATCCTACAAATGATAGGCCCATCTTGCAAGCAGATAGTGGCAAGGAAATCTATCATCCTGTGCTTAAAGGGCAGAATATGGTGGATGCAGTTGGCAAATTTGCTGGAAATTTGTGCCACCCAGATAAGGGGATTCGTCTTCCAACTCTAAGAATTTTGTGCCATCACGAGCTTCACAGTTGTGAAATTTCTTCTAAGGATCAGCCTGCTGAGAAGAAAATTAAAACAGAAGTTTCTCAGGCTCGTATTGTTGATACTGATGAAAGTAATGTATGTGCGCTATGTTCTACTGCTTTTATTCTTTGAAATCGGCACTGATTGGATAACTGATACTAATATATTTCCTTTTGAAACAGGTTATTCAGCTCTTGCTGTCTATTGAGGCTACTCCTCTTTCAATTTCTACCAGCAGGAAAGTTACCTTATTAATATCTAGAATACAGATGGGGCTCTCTGCTGGAAGGGTACCTGAAATATATGTACCTCTCATTTTGAATGGGATGATTGGCATCTTACATAATCGTTTTAGCTATCTATGCGATGCAGCTTCTGAGTGCCTTGGAGTTCTGATTAGCAAGTACACTGGACTTGTCTGGGATAGCTTTATTTCTTATTTTGAGCAATGTCAGTCCCTGGTACAGGCATCTGATGTTCAACTTGACGGAGTAAATGCAAATTTATCTAACACATCTAGTGGTATATGAAGATACGTTTTTTTTTATCAAATTGGTTTCTATTTGTCTTCTTTTGATTTTATATCTTGTCAGTGGTTCTTGATTGAAAACATTTTCTAGGTTGTTTAATTTTATCATTATTTTTCATTACATATAATATGGATTTCTAATCACTGTTTTCGATGGTCAGATCTTGTAAGGCAATTCAATTTGTTTGTTAAGCCTGCATCTTATAATACACCAGGCACAGCAGTTTTGTCTTTGTTGCTTCAATCTTTACAAAAGATTCCATCTGTTGCTGAATCTCGGTCCCGTCAAATTATACCTCTATTTTTAAGGTTTTTGGGCTATGATAACGATAATCTTGTGAGGTAGTCATCTTCTTTATCTTGTATCATTGATTTCTTTTCTTATTATGTGAAAGAATCAACATAAATCATCTTATTAGGAGCTGATTTGTTTTCTTATTTGGTATTGCAGCACGGGTTCATTCAATTCAGACAGTTATGAAGGGAAAGAGAGGAAGGGTATCCTTAAAGAATGGCTAAGCTTGTTTAAACTGATGAGGAACCCTAGATCATTCTATCGGAGTCAATTTCTAAAAGATGTTCTGCAATATAGGTATAGTGACTCATTTCTTGCTTCCTTCTTATTGTGTTGTCTCAACTTAAAATCTCAACTTAACTTTCTTCTAAGATGGGTTTATTGGATTTTATTTCTGTGTCTTTACCAGGCTTTTAGATGAGAATGATGCTGACATACAGGCAAGGGTTCTTGATTGCCTTTTATTGTGGAAAGATGACTTCCTACTCCCATATGACCTGCATCTCAAAAATCTAATTAATTCAAAACATCTGAGAGAAGAACTAACAACATGGAGTTTATCTAAAGAAGCTGGTCTAATTGATGAAGGTCATAGGGTTTATCTGGTGCCTTTAGTTGTTCGTCTCTTGATCCCAAAAATAAAAAATTTGAAAATGCTTGCTTCTCGAAAGGTATGCCCAGCTGAATATGTTTTAAATGCTTTTTACTCTTAACCTTTGAGTGGATGGGGTTTTCCAATTCTATCCATCTTTTCACTATCATATATTATTCTTATCACCTTGAATGTTAATTCTATGACCTTATTTTGACAGCATTCAAGTGTATATCTTCGGAAGGCAGTTCTTGGTTTCACAGCTCAACTAGATGCTCACGAGCTCCCTCTTTTCTTTGCATTGTTATTAAAGCCCTTGCAAATCATATCAAATGAAGATGATTGTGCTTCTAATTTGTATCGGAACTCATCTAATATTTCTACGGATGAACTTCACTCCCTAAATTATCTGAATTATTTCACTGTGGAAAATATAACAGCCGTGTCCTGGAAGAAGAAATATGGTTTTCTGCATGTAATTGAAGATGTTATCGGTGTTTTTGATGAATTTCATGTCAGACCTTTTCTGGATCTATTAATGGGATGTGTTGTTCGGGTATTAGCAAGCTGCAGCTTGAGTATTGACAATTCCAGGGTTGCCGAATCCTCTCTAGTAAAAGATCATCCTGGTGTTGAGCTGATCTCTGATGACAAAGACATAGACCATGCAGTGGCAAATCATGTGATGGTAATATTTCCGGCTGTGCTGAGAATTTTTTCCTTATTCAATTTGGTCAATAACTGTTCATCTTTTCAAATGTTTTCTATCTCTTTTAAATTCAAATAAGGTAACAAACTATTTGTAGTTAAAGTTTAGTAATTGTAGTGTTCAAGAGGATTTATGTTTGATTTTATATTCTACAATGATGTGATGGCATCTTGCATTCTTTTCTTTTCACCTTCTTTGCCTTTGAATGAATAACCAGATTTTTTATTGAGAAAAACTAACTTTCAGTAGTATTTGAAAGACATGCAGCTTGATGACGATAATTATTTTTTCTTTTGCAGACTGGCATGGGCATCAAGCAACTCAAAGATTTGAGGTCTCTATGTCTGAAAATTGTTTCTCTTGTTCTCAATAAATATGAGGACCATGATTTTGGTTGTGAATTCTGGAACCTATTTTTTACATCTGTAAAACCCTTAATTGATGGTTTTAAGCAGGAGGGTTCTAGTAGCGAAAAACCAAGTTCCCTGTTCTCTTGCTTTTTGGCTATGAGTCGAAGCCTCCGACATGTGTCCCTATTGTGTAGGGAAAAGAATCTTGTTCCTGATATATTTTCAATTCTAACTGTCCCAACTGCTTCAGAAGCTATTATATCTTGTGTTCTGAATTTTATTTCAAACCTGCTTGATCTTGAGTGTGAGTTGGATGATGAAATCAGTCCTATCAAAAGTGTGATATATTCAAACCTAGAAGCACTTGTCTGCAGCTTGCATCATCTTTTTCAGAGTGATATTGCATCCAAGAGGTATGGGTGATTCCTCTTACCTGTAATACATATTTAAAAGTATGCTGATATCTGCAGATTATGGAAGTATAGAAGAATATAAGGGTTGGACTTGAAACTATATTATGCAAAATATTCTGTATATTGATTCTTGAATCAACTGCTTCAAACAAATATGAAATTAATAGTTAGTGTGTAAGAAGAGAAGAATTTGTATTTTGGTTCTGAGTATTTTTTTTTTCCTTTACTTTTCCTCCTGGTTCTCCCAATGAACGATCCATTTTCATACTGCTTCATCAATCTGGCACTACTTTAGAAATAAGAACTTTCCTCATAATCATCAATGAAATCTTCAAAGAAGCATGGTGATATGAATACACGATTTTCAGTTCTTGGTTGTGCCCTCCTAGTAAACTGCTCTTCACTTGGAATAGATAGATTTTAGAGAGAAATTGTCAGATATTTTGAAGGAATGACATTTAAGAGAAAATAAAGTAAGATAACTGGCAATTAAAGACAAAAGGGGGGAGGGGTGGGGGGGAGGGGAAGAGGAAAAGATAGAAAATATCCAAGTACGGTAATTGTGAAACCAGTTCCACTTAAGGCATTCAGCCAAAGGACCAATGAGAAACATGGGGTGGCCTTTCCTATTCTTGGTCCAAAACAAAAACCTTATGCCAAGTTTCAACGCTCAAGATATTGGAAAGTTTATGGACCCTTTTTCCCCCAAAATTAAAGTCAATGTCCATAAGTGACACATATAGGGTCGTGTATGTAGTAAGTATAACAGAAAATGTCTGTGAACATGTAAGTTGAGACACCTATCTTTTTTCTTCTTGTCCCAAGATCCTATACCGCTCCATTGGTTACGAAAAACTCTTTTTGTTATAAATAATAGTATTCTTTTGAAGTTTTAAGATTTTGTTCTGTATTAGATGTTATGAAAATTTTGTGCTCTCTTTTTTCCTTTTCTCAATATATGAATCTGTTGTGTTCCATTTTGTATGAATTTCGCTTTTATGGTTTCTGCATTAGCGACTCATAATCTTTTAATTGTTTGCTTTTGAGTTCAATTATTCTTTAATCCATTCTTTTTACTGTTACAGGAAATTGGTCAGATGTCCAGGAGAAACAGAAATTAGAATTTTCAAATTGCTATCAAAATACATAAGGGATCCATTGCTGGCAAAGAAATTTGTTGATATCTTACTCCCTATCTTATCAAAAAGAGTCCAAAGTTCTGGTAAGAATATTTTAGAATTAATATTGTTACAGATAAACTCTCTTCCTATATTGTATCAATGTATTTTATTGGTGTTGCAGATATCTGTGTTGAAGCCATACAAATTATTCGAGATATCATACCTGTAGTAGGGAGAGAGAGGACCACTGAAATACTTAAAGCAGTTGCTCCACTTCTTATTTCAGTTAAACTGGATATTCGAGTGTTTATTTGTGATCTTCTTGATGCACTTGCTAGAACTGATTCTTCTGTACTTGTGGTGGTAATATTTGTCTTCTTTTATTTATTTTTGATTTTGGAGTTTCTTTGTTCTATGAATATCATAAGTTTTAATATTGATGATTCGAATGCAGGCTAGGCATGTAAGACAATTAAATGCAACATCAGCTTTTGAGCTGGATGAGCTTGATTACGACACTATAGGCAAGGCATATGAAGAGATTGGAATTGGATTCTTCCATGCTATGCCAGTGGAGCATGCATTACTTATTTTGTCACAATGTGTATATGATATGTCATCAGAAGAATTAATATTAAGGCATCATGCTTATAGGTTGTTGCTTACATTTCTTGATTTTACTGCCAAAATTCTTGCCCAAGAGGTTACAGATCATCATGAAACTGCTGAAGAGATGATGAAAGATGATGAAGGCTGTTGGACAAGAGCATGTGTTCAGCATATTATAAACAAGTTTCTTTTAAAACATTTGGGGGTTGCAATTAGCAGGAGAATTTCTGTGAGAAAGGTATCTAGCCTATTTTTAGTCCTCTGGTAGAAATAAATGATATTTTAACTAACCAGTCCATGTAACACGCATGCTCCGAACTATATATACATGTACTAATGTGCATAAGGGCGATCATTGATGCTCTAAATTTTACTTGGTGAAGCAATTTTCGGTTATTATACCTCCTAATGTGATGTACACGTGCTACATATTATGTACACCTATACTAATGTGCATAAGGACATTATGTGATGTATACTATTTTACTTTGTATGCATATTGCTGTTCTTATAGTCTGTTTTGTGGGATGCAAATGCAAAGATGTAGCATATGGAGAAATATACAAAAATATTTTCAATATAGTTACAATAACTTTTATATTCAGGAGGTTTTCTAATGAATGGGAATGATTCCAGGAATGGATTGATTTACTTCGAGAAATGGTGATAAAGCTTCCGCAGTTGGCGAATCTTAATTTGTTCAAAGCTCTATGCTCTGAAGATGCTGATCAAGATTTTTTCAATAATATCATTCATTTACAGGTTATTCTCTTGCATTGTAGGCTTCTTTGGCCACTTATGTTCTCATATAAATAATTTGTTTGATTGACAATGGTTTCTGAATGCATGTGAAGAATGAGTGCTGTTGATTTGTTCTGATAATTGGTTCTTGCCAGTTAGCATATATTTTTCTTCTGAAGTGGAGCTTATAACTTTTCTCCTGCCTTTCTGTATTTCTTCTGCATTCGCTAATGTTAACAAAAACTAATGTGCTTTAGCTATTAATGATGATGGAGGCTCAAGAACCTTTGTGAAGATATTCTCAAATTTCCATTTTTTGTGCAGAAACATAAGAGAGCAAAGGCTTTGTCTCGTTTTTCAGATGTTATCAGCAAAAGCCATATGTCTAAGGTAACTCAGCTGGACTCTTGTTTTTAAAGGGTTAATGTCATGAATAACCCCTAAACAATAGTGAAATGTTCAATGTGCTACTTGAACTTTAAAAATTTCTAATGTGGTACCTGAACTATGAATCTATTAACTAATGTGGTATTCAACTCTAATTTGGCTAGCTTCAAATGATGACACGTGGCAGACAAACAACCCTCCAAGTACCACATTAGTTAACAGATTCATAGTTTAGGTGCCACATTAGAGATTTTTAAAGTTCAGGTAACACATTGAACATTTCACTTTAGTTTAGGGGACATTCATGACATTAACCCCTCTTTAACAATGGGAAGTTTCACTAAAGCTTGCCATGCTGCTTTTGACTTGCAGGATATCATAAATAAAGTGTTTATTCCACTCTTTTTCAACATGTTGTTTGATTTACAACATGGAAAGGATGAACATGTTAGAATTGCATGCATTCAAGCACTTGCTTCAGTTTCTGCTAAGATGGAATGGAAATCATACTATGCGTTACTGCTCCGTTGCTTTAGGGAGATGAGGACAAATCCAGACAAGCAGAAGGTTCTCTTACGGTTAATTTGCTCCATCTTGGACCAATTTAATTATTCACAAATTTGTTCCAGTCAAGGAGCAAAAGATTCCTTGGACAACATTTCAGGTTCTGAAGCTGGTAGTACCATTTCTTCAGCATTGCAGAAAGGTGGTAGTTCTATTATGAATGCTGAGATACAGACCTCTCTTCAAAAAACTGTTCTGCCAAAGATACAAAAGTTATTGAGTTGTGATTCTGATAATGTCAATGTTAATATCAGTCTTGCAGCACTGAAACTTCTAAAGCTGCTTCCAGGAGATATAATGGAGTCTCAGCTTTCTAGCATCATTCATCGCATTTCAAACTTTCTAAAGAGTCGTTTAGAAAGTACTCGTGATGAAGCTAGGTCTGCATTGGCTGAATGTCTGAAGGTACTTGGACTTGAATATCTGAAGTTTATAGTTCGAGTTTTGCGAGCAACCTTGAAACGAGGATTTGAGCTGCATGTTCTAGGATATACACTTAATTTTCTTTTGTCAAAGACTCTTTTAAGTTCTACCTATGGGAGTTTGGATTATTGTCTGGAAGATCTCCTCTGTGTGGTGGAAAATGATATTCTTGGAGATGTTGCTGAGGAGAAAGAGGTGGACAAGATTGCTACTAAAATGAAAGAAACTAGAAAGTGCAAGTCTTTTGAAACCCTGAAACTGATTGCCGAAAACATAACTTTCAAAATCCATGCATTAAAGCTTATTTCTCCTGTTACAACTCACTTGCAAAAGCATCTGACACCAAAAGTGAAGGCAAAATTGGAGAATATGTTAAAGCACATAGCAGATGGACTTGAGTGCAATTCATCGGTAACTCAGACTGAGCTCTTAATCTTTGTATATGGTCTCATTGCTGATGCAACTAATGAAGAAAATGGGTTGGGTGTGAGTTCGACTGGTATAGAAGCAAATAAGCATGGAAATGTTGTCAATGAGAAAACTGTTTCTCCGGGCCAGGGTTTTAGAATTAAATCTGCAGGTTCACATCTTATTACTGTATTTGCTCTAGGGGTTTTACAAAATAGAATTAAAAGCATGAAATTGGACAAAAGTGATGAGCAGCTGTTATCAATGTTGGATCCATTTGTCAAATTGCTTGGCAACTGCTTGAGTTCCAAATATGAAGATATTTTATCCTCTTCCCTTAGATGTCTTACTCCATTGGTAAGGCTGCCTCTGCCATCCCTTGAATCCCAGGCTGATAAATTGAAGGTAACACTGTTGGATATCACACAAGGTTCAGTAAATCCTGGCAATCCTCTTATGCAGTCATGCCTAAAGCTGTTGACTGTGCTTTTACGAAGCACAAAAATCACATTATCCTCAGATCAGTTACATCTGTTAATACAGTTTCCAATGTTTGTGGATCTTGAAAGGAATCCCTCTTTTGTTGCCCTATCACTTCTAAAGGCAATTGTTAACCGCAAGCTAGTTGTTCATGAGATCTATGATATTGTAGTTCGAGTTGCAGAATTGATGGTAACTAGTCAGGTGGAACCAATTCGCAGGAAATGCAGTGAGATTTTGTTGCAATTCTTACTTGATTATCATCTTTCAGAAAAACGCTTGCAGCAACATTTAGATTTTCTACTTGCAAATCTAAGGCATGTATTAAAGTATTGAAGAATTTTTTTTTCTATTTAATTTTGGATGTCTTACAAGCAATCCACTTTTCTTGCAGGTACGAGCATCCAACTGGGAGAGAAGCTGTGCTTGAAATGCTCCATGCAATTATGATCAAATTTCCAAAAGGCATAGTTGATGAGCAGTCACAAACCATATTTGTCCACCTGGTGGTGTGCTTGGCTAATGATCAGGATAATAAAGTCCGCTCTATGACTGGTGCAGTTATAAAGCTCCTTATTGGTCGTATAAGCCAACATTCGCTGAATTCCATTCTTGAGTACAGTCTGTCCTGGTATTTGGGTGAGAAGCAGCAACTATGGAGTGCAGGCGCACAGGTACGGTTCTCTAAAAGGGTCTATTAGATTTATGTTTCTGAATGATGTTGTCTACATCCTTAGAGTTTCAGAATTAAATAAAATGCAGGAAATGCTTAGGACTAGGGAAAAATTAATGGAAAGCAAGTATGACCTTCTAAACCATAAATGCTGTTTATTTGTGTTATGATATGTTTACCATATTTATTGCTGGAGGTAGATATAGATTCATTTCTTTGAAGATCTTTGTATGAATGATCCTCATTTATATTTGTTTGTCTTTTCTTGATGCCTGGACCCTCTCCCATAAAATATATCCAGAAAGTATAGGCACATTTATAAACTATGCTAGTTTTCCTTATGACACCAAGAAACCTTTATATGTAGTAATAGCTTGGTTTCTGTTATCATGCCCAATGTCTGCATAACCTTTCCAACTCCTGATCAGAGATTTTGTGTATAGAGTTGGAATTTGTTCTCTTCAAAGTGCTCTAATGTTCCTCCCTGTGCAGTTCTCTCATGATGCTGTCCTGTAAACTTAGCATAGATAGTCAAAGTTCTGTTCAGAATTAAGGCTTTTATTCATTTATAAATACAAATTTTCAGGTAGTGAGAAGTGTGAATATCCGTATTATTGCTACGGCCTTCCCCTTAAAACCCTGATATGTGTTGTGCAAGTGCTTACCATCAGTTAAGAGTGTAGTTTCTGTGAGTGACTATTTTTGTTTAGGTTGATAGCTGCGAGAAAACTCTTAAACTTTGAATGAATTGGCTTCAAGAAAAATTTGGTGATTGGAAGGTTGCTATTAAATAGCGTGTGTTGTTTGTAGCAAATAATTAAAGGAAGAAGATCGAGGAAGAGTCGGTTCTTTAGCATGCTAAAGTGAATGGAGATAGAATTCTTCAATGGTCCATAAGAAGTGACTCAAATTTTAGTCAAACCTAATGAAAGCATCTCTTTCCTATTACCCTATAGAGTGAATATTCTGAAGAGCTTTTATCTAAGATACTGGAACAGTGGCACTCATTGTAATGGCCCTCCCACAATAAAGTTATTGCATGTGTAGAGGCCTTATGACGAAGTAGTGGGGCCTTTTATTGTATTTTTTATGTTTTGGTGATGGACTGGGCTGTGAACTGTTGACCAAATACTTTAATTTGAACAAGTTCCATCGGCTTCATGTGTTTGGTTTTTTCTATTTGTAAGCTATGAGCTTGGCTATCAGTTGAACCTGAGGTGTTCATTAGTTCTTGACTCTGCTTTACTTCTCTAAAGCTCAGATTCAACTTAATTATGAATGTTCGTCTAATGCTGGAGTTATTTAAATCATAGTTTCTATCAATTGAGTAGCCAAATTAACTTTCTGTTGTGTTTATTAAAAAATTGTAAAATAATAATTTTTTTTTTTGGGGGGGGGGGGGGAGTCTGAGGGTAGGGAACTTCTATTCGTTCTTCTCACTCATATTATGAAGAAACAATGATATCATATGCAGTCGGAGTTTTTAAACTCCATCAGCCTGGTTAGATGGTTGCTACATATCCTATTAGGGTATGTTTAAAATATTAATACATTAATATGATAAACAAAAGGACAAGTGGTAATATTCTAACCCTGCTTGTGAAGTCTAAAACTCCACAGCAATGTATAGAATAATAGTCCTATTATTAAATAAATTTATTGATGGATATCCCACTGTTAATTCAAATTCTGAAAAGTACCTGCAGTAGAGTGTAATCAAGTTTGCTCTATATATTTACTTTCGGTACCACATTTCTCGTGTTCCTATTATGATGATCTTGGATGTCTTTGTGCAGGTATTGGGATTAGTGATTGAGGTCATGAAGAAAAGTTTTGAAAGGCATATAAGTAGCATATTGCCAGTGACTAAAAGCATTTTGCGCTCTGCTATTGATGCTTTTACCAACTCGCAGATGGATCTTCCTAACGAAGCTACTATTCCTTACTGGAAAGAGGCATACTATTCACTAGTTATGTTGGAGAAGATGCTACATCAGTTTCGAGATTTAAGCTTAGAAAGGGATCTTGAGGTATAGCCTGGCTGTTTCTTATTCCAGAGTACAAATGTTATCAGATAAGACTTTCTTTTTTTCACCTAGTTGTTGTATCACTATCAACCTACATTCTCCATAAAACTAGGGTCCATCTATTAATGAATAGCAAGGAGTATCCCTGTATAAACATCTAGAAATGGGTAACTGAGAATTGCCAATTTGTCACCAATATAATGGTATCATTATTCTGGTGCATTACATTGTTTCATTCATTCTATTTATTTTTAAAAGATATTTATTTTTAAAAGATAGATTATGGAAAAAGCCATTAAACTTTTTCCAGAGATGATTGTTCTGAAAACATGGTACATTGATGGTTTCATTATTCTTATGTCTTTTTTTTTTTTTTTTTTGTTAAAGATAGAGCATGAAGGTAGGTGTGATCAAAGAAATTGACAATGTTTTGGGGGGCCATGCCCCTCCAACATTCAACAAGCTCTATCTCTTTGTCTATTAAATTGTCATGCTAATCATAGTTCATTATACTTCTTTGCTGGCTCAGGAAATATTAGGATTGTATTGCATGACTGGATATGACTTTTAAGAGGTGCTCTAGTAATATATATATTAATGGAGAAAGCTAGGTTTTTGAATTATCTTTGAGATATAATTACCTTTATAGAACATAATATTTACTCGAGAAACAGCATTGCTTGAATCTTTTGTTGGTTTCTGTGGCGGGCAAATAGTATAGTTAATCCAGTTAAAATTTTCTTGAAATTGGGGCATTATATTATTCAGCTTGGCAAGCAGAAGATCTTAAAATGTTTTGTAATCTTATGCTGGTGGATATAATGAGTACCGATCCAATTGTATTAAATGTTATAATGTTAGGGCTTTTGTGAAATATAACATTTGCCATTTGCATATATGATATGAACACCTAACATGTGTTCAAGCACTAGCTTTTAGAGTCTTTTTCTGCATCCAGTTTTTATATTGTATTCAAGCATTATGTACATAGTGCTTTCCCTCTCTATGCTACATGGTTATTCTGCCCATCTATACACACATATAAATGTGTGTATATATATTATATGTATATGTATATGTATCTATGTATGCTGCATGGTTATTCTGCCCATCTATTACACACATATATATGTATATATAAACATATATAATATATATGTACATATGTATATACACATGTATATATATATGTATGTATGTATGTATGTATGTATGTATGTATGTATGTTTGCTACATAGTTGTTCTGCCCATCTTTATGTTAATAATTGGACATGCTGTGCCCTTTGTAAACAGTCATTGTAATTGAATTCATATTGACCATAGTCTACTCATTATCAGGATATATGGGAAATGATCTGTGAGTTGCTGTTGCATCCACATGCATGGTTGCGCAATGTATCAAATCGCCTTATTGCATTGTACTTTACTTGCGTGAACGAGTCTAGAAGAGTAAGTGTTGAGAAGTCGAATGGGGCCTTATTCCTTATGATGCCAAGTAGACTTTTTATGATAGCTGTTTCTCTTTGCTGCCAACTGAAAGCACCTATTAATGATGATGAGGCTGCTGCAAAGGATGTAAAACTCGGTGCTAAGAAGGAAAAGGAAAAGAACCATTATCACCGGAGCAGCCTGATTACAAAAAATCTTGTGTTTGCAATTTGTGGTCTGAACGCCTTGATGAAAGAGTGGGCTGGTGTGAACCATACTGAGTTCTGGTCTAACCTTGAACAGCATGAGCAGGAGCGGTTTCTTAAAGCTTTTCGATTGCTCAATTCAAGAAAAGTGACAGGAATGCTTTTGCCCATTACTGGTGCTACACAACATCAAAGTGATACAGACCATTCTGAGGGCCTTCAATATCTGCTTGTCTCTAATCTGCTTAAAGAGCTGGGGAAGCTTGCTCTTCAAATGGAGGCTACTCAGGTTGGTCAGAGTAATGGTTTTTTATTTGAATTCTGGAAAACATTGAAATGAAATCCTTTTTAACCCTACTTTTTAGCTTGTTATTTATAAATTGTGTTCTGTTGTTAAAAGAAAAAATATTGTGCTGATAAATTTAAAATGCTGCGTGCAGATGAGGATTGTCTTCAATAGTTTCCGGAAAATTTTACCAGAAATCAGTCCGGACGATTCCCGACATTATGCATCTCAAATGATGTTTCCTTTGTATAAAGTTAGTGAAGGGTTTGCTGGAAAAATTATCACTGGTGAGTTCAGGCATTGCCATACTAGATTTTTACCATATAACTTTGGGCCTCTCCTGGTTTTGATTGAAATTTTCATGCTTTTGTGACCATTTGTATTCACATTATATTGCAGATGATCTAAAGCAATTAGCACAAGAAGTTTTGGGGAGTATACGGAACGCTTTAGGCAGCCAAGATTTTGGACATGTTTACACTGAGATAAAGAAGAAACTAAAATCGAAAAGGGAAAAGAGGAAGCGAGAGGAGAAGCGCATGGCTGTTATTAACCCCGTTCGCAATGCCAAGAGGAAGTTGAGGATAGCAGCTAAGCATCGTGCCAACAAGAAAAGGAAGATAATGGCAATGAAAATGGAAAGATGGATGCGTTGAGAATTGATGTTGTAAATGATCCCTCTGAATATACAACTCTGCTGATGGCTTGCCTTTTTCATCACTAAATCATTAGGAACTTGTAAGTTGCTAGGAACCAAGAATATTATCTATTTTGAAGTCCTCTTCTCATTGCTTTTGCCCCACGAAATTTTGAAAAATTCACCATCTGTTTCCCTCTTTTTTGATTATCGAGGAATCTCTTTTACTTGTAAATTATTGAGGAATCTCCTTTACTTGTAATACATGAATATTTGTAATTCTCCGTATGTTCCAAATAGACAGGTCAGTTAATCTGAACCTTGCCTTAGATTTATTCATTTATATGCCGTCGGTTTGTTTTAATTCATCGTGTTTTTTTATGAAGTGTAATATTGAATTAAGATGCATTAATAAATAGATTCATCAAAAATGAAAATTGTTGAGGATAATTTTTTAATTGGTTTTTGAAGATCCTAAGTAGACTCGATGATTCGTGTATTTATGTTATATAAAATATTAAAATTCATATATAAAATTTAATTTTTTAATTTGTTAAATTTATATATAATTATTAATATTAAAATTTTAAATCGTGTCATTTTTATCGTGTCATATTTTAAATTGATAGGTTTAATTCTAAGATTGAAACATCTTGTTCTAATTTCTAAACATTATGGATGTAATTGAACATAGAATCCTCGAATGCTTAATTTCAAATTTTAAAGAGTATGTGTAAAATTCTTGAAGCATATTTACCCGATGCTGCCTTTCCTTAATTGTATTATAAAAAGAAAAAGGACTGCAATAGAAGAAAAAGAAAGAAAGGAGGCAGTTATAGCAAAATGATGAAAATGGAGGGACATAAAATTAATAATCAAAGGATAACGCGGGATCCAGAGGCTGTCTTAAATTGCAGTTGTTTCTCTAACGTTTGTATAACGAACTCACCATTTGGCATTCACATTTCTCTCTCTTTGCCTTTCTGTCTCTCTTTTCATTTTTGTATACAAAAGAAAAGAAAAGAAAAATAAAAAAACCATAATTTCTTTCATTTTTAATTTTCTTTTCCCAGATTTGTATTATAGACTCGGGTCTCTAGCTTTGTCTCATTCATCCCTTTTTGCATTGTGCCAAGAATATAAAACAACAACATTCAAAGTCTTGATGTTTGTCTTGATTTGATAGTGGATTGGAAGTTTTGGCCCTGGGAAAAAACAAAAACAAAAACAAAATCAAGAGACCATTTTCCCATTTATCCTTTTTGTTTTGGTTTATGATCAATGGGGATGTCATATGACAATGTTCGTGGACTTGTTTTGGCTGTTTCTTCCAGCGTTTTTATTGGATCTAGCTTTATTATCAAGAAAAAGGGCCTCCAGAAAGCTGGAGCAACTGGAACAAGAGCTGGTTTCTTTCGTCTTTTTATTTCCCATCATAACTTCAATCTGTTAAACTATTTTGGCATCTCGGTTTAATTAATATATATTTTGTTCATGGATGAATATTGAAATGTATCTTCTAATTTGATAACAGGTGAAGGAGGGTACGCTTATTTATATGAACCTTGTTGGTGGGCAGGGATGATAACTAGTAAGTTCAATGACTATTTTAAAATTGTTATAATTTTATTTCTTTGTTCTTTCTAATTATAAGCTTAACAATTATTTGTAGATTGAAAATTTTGTTGTGTTCTTCTAGTGAAGGAAAAAAAAGGCACATTCAATTTCAAGTTATTGAGAATTAGGGTGCTTCCATTGCTGCATAGCTGCGTTTTATGACTGCACCCTTAAGGTCCATTGAATAAAACTTCTCCCACCTCGCATCCGAGTGAACTCTTTGTAGGAGTCCCTTAAGAAATAAAATTTTGAGGTTAGGATAAATCGGTAATCATGTGTTAAATAAGAATTGTGCTTTATTGATGCCCTCATTGGAATGTCAACAGATCCTACATGACCTGAAAATAGCAAAAGAGATAGATGTCTGCACCAAGCCTTGCAAGCAAGAAGTCCAGGCATTTCTTTTACTAATTTATATGTTGTTCAGATGTTCAGATATTTTACTGACTAAAGTTTACTTAAAAGGCAATAGCAAATCTGCAAAAAGAAAATTTTAAGTTGAAAATAGGGAAAAATATGATCGAGTATTTGTTCAGTTTTCAAAGAATTATATAAGGTGTAAGCAAAGTTAAAGTTGTGTTTACATGCAATGGCATCTAGTTGTGGGCTGCAATGCATCCTTGCGCTACATATTTACTGTCTTTTGTTTTACAATCATTTCATGATCAGAAAGTCTGATAGTGCTGCTTGATTTATGTAGTGATAGTTGGGGAGATAGCTAATTTTGCTGCTTATGCGTATGCTCCCGCAATTCTTGTAACACCTTTGGGAGCTTTAAGCATTATTTTCAGGTACGGATCATGTTCCGTATTGTGATAATATTTTGATTTTCAACCATCTAGCTAGGTTCATCTGCTCTCATCCAAAGGAAGGTATTTCGAAGTTTACATGTTCATGTAGTTAGGCATGTGGAGAGACATGTTTGCCAATGTTGGATTGGCTTGGCTTGCCTGTGGATTTGAGTAATTTTTAAGAAGAAAACATTATTATGCAGTGCAGTGCTAGCACATTTTATTCTGAAGGAGAAATTACACATCTTTGGTGTGCTTGGATGTGCACTGTGCGTGGTTGGTTCTACAACCATTGTTTTACATGCTCCACAGGAAAGAAATATTGAATCTGTCAAAGAAGTATGGCAGCTTGCAACAGAACCAGGTATGTAACAAATTCCAATCTAGTTACTGATATATTCACATTCATGTTTGAAGAGTAAATTCTCTGATTTATAACATGCGTTTTGTTTGGACGACTTTTATGTTTCTGAAATTCTACTCTTTACATTGACTGGCACGTGATCACATGATGAGTGTGCATTTGGTTTCTTTGACTCTTTTGGATATGTCAAAACCAATGGATTGATTATTTTTTTAACAAATAAAAAATGGTTGGGACAAGATCCACATTAGCTGGTGAATAAAGTATACTTTCTGATTTAAAACGTTGTGTACTAAGTCAGATATTTAGATTGCTCAAAAAAGTTATTTAGTTCTAGCTAAGCAAGTCAAACAACCTTGCTCAGATAGACAATCTTGATATCCAATGGCATGGATCATTTGTGTTTGTCAAACTAATATATGCATTTTTATATTCACAGGTTTCCTTGTATACACCTGCCTAGTTGTGATTGTGGTAGCAGTTCTTATTTATCGATGTGTTCCACGCTATGGCCAAACCCATATGATAGTATATGTTGGAATCTGCTCTCTCATGGGCTCTCTGACGGTCTGTTTATAACTTTCAAGGCTTGTTTTTTTAATTATGGCTTTAACAGTGGTTCTTGTAAATCATCTATTTTTTTTTTCTATAGGTAATGGCTGTTAAAGCAGTAGGAATTGGGTTGAAGCTTACATTTGAAGGAATGAATCAATTTAAATACTTCGAAATGTGGGTTTTCACATTTGTTGTAGCCTTTTGCTGTCTTCTGCAGGTGAACTACTTGAACAAGGTAAATGTTGAAGATTTATTTCAATGTATTTCAATTTCTACTTAACATATCTGATTTTTCAAGTAGATGAAACGAAGTGCAAGGATGGTTATTCTGCATATCTACTAGGCAAATATCTGAGCTTGATTCAAACTAGCTTTAATTAGTTAATTTTTATTATTTTTCCTCTTCTTAAAGTGAAATTTACATATATTTATTGACTATAAGCTGAAGCTATTGTAGTTTCTGTTACTGAAACAGAAGCTTTACATTTTTTTTGCAGGCCCTAGACACCTTTAACACTGCTGTCATATCTCCTGTCTACTATGTCATGTTCACAACATTCACCATTCTTGCCAGCATGATCATGTTTAAGGTAAGCTTTATACATTTCTAATCTATTTTCATATTCAATTCTGCATTCTTTATCTATGTTGGTAGAATTCGGGGTGAGTATCGGATATTGGTATAGGCCAAGACGGGTACTTTAATTTTTCAAGTTTTCAACATATTTGAAGGTCGAACACCCATGCCAATATCCGTTGAATAAGTATTAGACGCAGGTACTTCAGAAAAGACAAAGAATCAGGGCAACATAGATGCTTTTTTACTTGTAATAAACGGCGTCTCTATGAAAATTCTGTGCTTTTACATGTAATTCTTTAATTCTTCTCTCTTTTTTGGTAACAAAACAGGATTGGGATTCACAAGGTGCAGCGGACATTGCAACAGAATTATGTGGTTTTGTTACAATTCTGTCAGGGACCTTCCTCCTACACAAAACAAAAGATATGGGAAAAAGTCCCACTGTAATAAGCCCTGTCTTCACCAGCCCTGATCTAAACCCAGCTCCGAACACCAACTCCAACTCCAACTCCGACTCCAGATAGTCAAAGCTTCGAATTCTCAGCTTCTTATTCTGATGGCTTTTGGTTTCAAACCCTCAGCAAACTGCTACTTCCAAAGAGAAAAAGAAGACAAGGGGGCATTTTTAGAGAAAAAGAAGACAATAAGGGGACATTTTTTTTAAGTGAGATGCAAACTATGTGACGTGGTGAATGTGAAGGGGATGCTACAAAAAGTTTGAGATAGTTTTTCCTCGTATTCATTTATTTCTCTTATTCTTTTCACAGATTCTTAATTACCTTGTGAATATGAAAGATACAGAATATTGTTGTTAAGAGGTTTTCGGAGAAATTACAAGGCAAGATTTGAAAAAGAAGAAAATGATGAAAATTTTATTGTAATGATTTGTATATTATAACGAGGATTAAAGCATATTTATACATAAGTAAAATGTTACAAAATAAAAAATACATTAAATAAAAATAATGACTAAATCAATTCATATAATCAACCAAATCGATTTAATGTTCTCTAAATCTATATCAAATCAATTTAAAATATTATTGGAATATTACTAAAATAATATCATCAATCTAGAATATTACCAGAATATTACTAGAATATTATTGATCAGGCGAATGTGATTTGATGAAGATATCTGCTTTTTGATCAATACTGGTAACAAGAATAAGTCGAAGAGTTTAAGCAAGCAGACGGTGATGAATGAAGTGACAGTCCATTTCAATATATTTAGTATACTCATGAAAAATATCATTGTGAACTATTTGAATGGTACTTTGATTATTACAAAATATAAGAGTATTATAGTGATAAGAAACACCCATAACCTGAAGTAGCCATCGTAACCATAAAAGTTCTGATGTGGCATCTGCAAGAGCTCGATACTTAGTTTTAGTGCTAGAACGAGATACCACAGTTTGTCATAGAATGACAATTAGTAAAATCTTCTACCCAATCAGCATCGCAATAACAATGTAAGTTCAAAGAGAAACTAGAGAAAAAAAAATACAAACTATGGAACATAGTACCCTTGAAATATTGTAGGATTCGAATGATTGCAGCAAAACGAGTAAATCAAGGACAAGGCAAAAATTGACTAACCAAATGAATAGCATAGGTAATGTTTGGATGAGTAACTATCAAGTATACAAGACTACTCACCAGAGTTCGATACAAAGAAGGGTTTGGAAGTGGTGTACCATTAAAAAGAGAAAGCTTCAAATTTTGTTCAAGTGGTGATGATGCAATCTTGTTTTTAGTTAAACCTGCTCAAATAATAAAAATAGAAGCATACTTTGTTTGCAACAAATGTAAGCCAATAGAATCACTAGTGACTTCAAGGCCTAAAAAATAACTCAAAGGACTAAGATCTTTCATCTTAAACTTAAAATGAAGAAAAGTCTTTAGATCTTGAATATCATTTGCATCATTACCTCTAATGATTATGTCATCCACATGAAGTAAAAGAAGAGTAATACCATTTTCAATAGTTTGAGTAAAGAGGGCAGAATAATGATTACTAGATGTAAAACCAAATTGTGTAACAATGGTACTAAACTTCAAGAACCAAGCTCTAGAGGCTTGCTTAAGACCATATATAGTACATCGAAGAGGATAGACCATGTTGGAAGGTACAGATGAACCAAAATGAGGTTTCATGTAGACTTTTTCGATGAGATAACCATTTAAGAAAGCATTTTTAGCATCTATTTGAAATGTTGTCTATTTTTTAGTTACAACAATAGTTAATAGTGAACGAACAGATGTGAGACTTGCAACTGAGATAAAAGTCTCTTCATAGTCAATATCATATTATTATGTAAATTCTTAAGCAACAAGACGAGCTTTGTAACGTTCCACTAATCCATCAGATTTAGTCTTGATCTTGTAGACCCACTTACAATCAATCACTGACTTATTAGAAAGTCGTTCAATAATATCCCAACTATGAGTTTTCTACAGCTTTTCTACCATTGCTTGCTGTCACATAGGATTAGAGATAGCTTCATGAAAATTGGGAGATTCATGTAACGTGGGTAAAGTATAATAATAGTGAAAATTACGCAGGTGAGTGTTGGGTTCCCTTACCTGGGTGGAATGATGAAGTGGAGACAGTATGTATAGTGATAGGACAACTGTATCAATAGAAGTCTCAATTAGATCAGATATAATAAGAGTGAAAGAAGATGGATCACTATTTGAGTCAAAAGTACCTATAATAGTTTTTTCATTTTAAGAAAAATCAAAAGATGAATATGTAAAAATACGTGGAGAAGAATATGGTGAATGTAATTAGGACACATTAGTGAACTTTTTATGTTCTAAAAAAACTACACGTTTTGAGATGTGAAAACTATTAGACATTGGATCATAACACCTATACCCCTTGTATTCTATACCATAACTCAAAAAATAATACAATCTAGCTCTAGGTTCAAGTTTAATCCTTTCATGAGTAGGAAGTAAAACAAAGTAAATACATCCAAAAATTTTGAAAGAATGGTAATCAGGTACCTTATTGTATAGACATTCATAGGGAGACCATGTGTTTAATACTGGTGTGAAAAAATGATTAATAGTGTAAATAACAGTGAGCACAGTTTCACCCCAAAAATGTTTAGGAAGGAAAGAAGAAATGAGAATGGCATGAATTGTGTCAAGAATATGACGATGCTTTCTTTCAGCTCGACCATTTTGTTGTGAAGTATAAGGCAAGACCTATGAGGATGAGTCCTATAATCCTTTAACAAGTTACAAAACTTAATTTTTGTATATTTAGCAGTATTATTAAACCTACAAATTTTTATTTTTCTAGAAAATTAAATTTGTATCATGTTATTGAATTCACGAAAAATGGATAAAAATTTTGTTTTTTGTTTGAATAAATATATCCAAGTATAACGAGAGAAATTATCAATAAATATAACAAAGTAATATGAACCTCCTAAGATTGATGTGAGAGCTGAACCCTAAATATCAGAATGGACTAAATCAAAAGAAGCAGATGACATAAAATCACTTTTATTAAAAGGTAAAACACTTTGCTTTTCAAGTTGACAAGATAAACAATGAAAAATATCATTAGAAACATTACTTAAGACATCGGTAGAAGCAAGTGACTTTATTTGAGAAATAGATGCAAGTCCTAGCCTAAAATGTCATAAATCTAAAGAAACTGAAGAGTTACTTGTTTGAGTGTAGCTACAGTAAGCAAATATTGTGTAATTTTCAAGTTTCAAGCTTAAATAGTGTTCCAACCTTACGCCCTATTTCACTTTCTAACCTATTTGAGGATCCTACACAATACAACCATATCATTGTGAAAAATATAAATCAAGACTAAGGTCACAAACTTGCCTAACAAAAAGCAAATTTAAGGCAAGATTACGAACACGGTAAGTGTTAGATATACATAGTTTTGAAGTTTTAATATTACTAATGTGGCTAGATTTTAAAGCATATCCATTTGTTGTTTTAATGATTGGATCATTAGGTACATGTCTTTTGCTTTTGAACAAAGAACGGTCAGCTGTCATATGATTTTCATAGGCAGTATCAAATAACCAAACATTACCTGATGTGGCAGCAGACATGGCAAAAACATGAGATCGAGATAATATTTAATTGAACAAAGTTTGAAGATTAGTGGTGCAGATTGTAATGATTTTAGAAGAAGACTAAAAAATGTTTGGTTCAGTGGTTGTTGAGGCAGTTGTCTTGTTAGTACGAGGATCATGAATTAAACTACCGTTATAATGATATTAACTTTACAATTATGAATGGGATAATTAATCCTCCCACATTATGAACAAGACTTGTGAAAAGTAGAGCTATTATTTTTTTGAAAAACAGTAACAACAATAGTATCAATACTATTAGTTCGATTCATACCCAATCGAGTTTCCTCAAATATCAATTCTATAAGAGCATTATCCATAGTTAGTAAAGGAAGTCGGTGAAAAAGTGAAAACCTAGTATTCTCAAATTCATCTCGAGTGCCATTAGAAATTGAATAAGATGAATTTGATTTTGATAAGTAATAAAATTATCAGTATCACTTTCATCTTGAAATTTTAGCTTAAAATTTTCAAGCATGTCTCATAAATATTGTATTTTAGAATGAAAATCATAAATTGATTGACTTGATTTTTTACAAAGGTGAGATAAAGTGGACAAAATATGATATCGATGAGAAAAGATAGTAGAGTTGTACTGTATGGCAAAAAAATCTCAAGCATCTTTAGTTAGTTCAAATAGCCCAAAATGTACATTGATAGAAGAAATAGTGGTGTTAGTAAACCATATTAGAATTCGATGATTCTTACTTTCTCATTCCTCTAGTTGATCTGTAAATTTATCACTAGATTCTTCTTCTTTTTTTTCTTGGTGCTTTACGTTCTCCCATAAAAATAAGCCATAATTTCATTCCCTTTATATAACTATGCATAGTCATAGCTCACCTATTGCAGTTTTTTTCATCAAAAAAATTGAAATTGATTGTACATTTTCTCATTGAATACCTGTCATTAAGCTTTAAAAAAATAAAAGTTTAGGAAGTTATGAGTATTGATATAAAAGATGAATCTTGAAAATGGGAAGAGAAACCCAAAAAAATTTGAAGCGCAAAAGAAAAAATGAAGTTAAAAATAAGAATAAACCAAAGATGATAATAAGCAAATATTGGTTATTCCAGAGTTATTCATCTGCGGAATGAACCATGAAATCGTTATGATACCATGAAAAGGAAGAAAATGATAAAAACTTTATTATAATGATTTATTTATACAGAGGTAAAATGTTATAAAACAAAAAATACAATAAATAAAAATAATGACTAAATTAATTTTTATAATCAACTAAATTAATATCTAATATTTTTTTAAATTAATATTAAATCAATTTAAAATTTTACTGAAATATTACTAGAATTATATCATCAATCTAGAATATTACTAGAATTGACAAGATTGAATGAAGAAATCTTCTGCTGTTGCATATTGTGTCATATTTCAAGTTTGTTCATTAGTTTTTGATTGATGTTTGACTAGACGTGCCAAGGAAGGGGTTACATGCCTTCTCCATAATGTAGTTGGAATCTGAAACAGCAAACTAAGAATCAACTTATCATGGAAAATTTAGATTAAAAATGCTACTTCATGTGAAGGATCGAGTCGAGCCACTGTGATTCACATGCCTTCGTGAAACAGTTTGCAATGATTATCATTATTATTTAGGTCATTGCTCTTCTTATATGTGTCATTGTCTGAAAACTGTTTGCAGAAAATTAAAAAAATCCATTCCTTAAATAGGTAGAAGCTTTATTTAAAAAAGGTAAAA